TGGGTTTATCCTACCTACACTAGTAGCTAGAGTTGCCGTGGGAATTACAACACCACAGAAATCACTACACCACATTTCACTAAAGCTTTGAAGTCATCCAGAGCGTTATTCAAAGCTCTCAAGAAGAAAGACAAGTAAACTTCTTTTCCAGAACTTCGGTTCAAGTCAAAGAAAGATAACTCCTCTTCGATTGAATTTCGAGCTAGAGGTTTCAAGTCTATGGATGGGATCGTAGAGTTTACGCCCAGATACTTCGGATTCTCTAAGAATGAAGGATTTTATATCAAGGAGAAGATGCCAGAGCTTCAGTTCTCCGTTCGTCTCCAGCGAATTAGAGATGAGAAATTCTATCTCTGTATTCCACGCTCGAAGATATTTGAGAAGACGACTTCTACTCGAACGTGTGCTATTTTTCCAGGAGTACGTAGTTTCATCACCATGTATGACCCCGACGGTCTAACATTGGGCGTAGATGATGCCAACGAGTATATATTTCGAAGATGTCTCACCATCGATCGTTTGATCTCAAGACGTACTAAGGAGACTAACAAGCGCAAACGCTACCGTATGCAAAAGCGCTTGACCAAGAGCTTCAATCAAGTGAAAGCTATTATTGCTGACATGCATCATAAAGTTTCCGGCTGGCTATCGACGAACTATAAACAAGTTCTTCTTCCTTCATTCCAGACGTCGGATATGACTTCCAAGCAAAAGCGCATCTCAAGTAAGACATCTCGAGCTATGCCCACATGGTCTCACTACAACTTCAAGATGATGCTTGCGTATAAGATGGAGCGCAGTGGAGGAAGAATAGTAGAGTGTGAAGAGCATTACACTACGAAAACGTGTTCGTGCTGTGGAAAAATCAACTACAGCATTACGAGTCAGAAAGTTTTCGAGTACAACCATTGTGAACTTGTGGTCGACCGCGACGTGAACGCAGCGCGAAATATCTTTCTCAAGAATGAAGAACTACTCACTTGGGCTCCGACCCAAGTGCCTGGAGATGCCTACTCCGAGTTCGTTAGGTACGCATGAGCTTGCTCTCGTGTATCGACCCGAAACAAAAAACAACTAATGCCGTGCGTTGCCCGGGAAGCTCTGGATATTTATGCATCGAAACGCTACAAATACATGTAAATAATATCGTACCGTATAAACATCAATAGCCCGTAGAGTACATTTTCTGTAACCATCTAAAAAAAATCAAAAAATGGAAATTCCAACTTGGAATTGTTAGTATTTTAGTATTTTTATACTATAAAACTAAACATTCATTGCCTTATCATACATATAATTAGTTAACTAAAGGAAAGATAGAGAAGCTCATCCCAAAAGATTTAGGAGCTGAATTAGTTTCTGGTTTTAATGTTGAATAGATAAATACCCATGCGTGGGATGAAGATTACCTTGTTGGGGAGCACGGGAAGAAGGTTAGGGCTCCAAAGAAGGCAAAAACGAAGTAAGCTGGCGTTTTGAGCTTGCTGAACAACTGTTAGGGACTGGCAATTAACACGGACAACCCTTGCCGCACACCATATAAATATGAATTGTCCACCGTGTAATGTTGGTCGAATTAACTTGAATACATTAAGTCGACTGGCCAAGTGGTCAAGTTAACTTGAATCTAGATTCTATTCTGCAGCACGTCATAAGTTATCAGTAGATGTTGCTCCAATGTTAAATGATTGTAGCTTTGGTGACAGGTCGCACGAATGTCGTTCTTCACCGGTTGGGTCAACATTGACCCAATTTCGAATAGAATATCAGATATCATCAAATATCCCGTCGGTTAATCTTATCCTCTGTAAGGAAAGAAGATTTGAGTGTTTACACAAGCAGAAAAATATTTGTTTACATAGGATCCACGAGGGGTCTGGACTCTGGATATATGTATCCAAGAATTCATGATGGTACTTTCGTATCTCATGATAACTTTGGTATATATTGAGGCGAAAAATGTGCAACTTGCTCCCTGCTATTTACTTGCGATCCTCAACAATTTCTACTCCTTCATCAAGATCCACTTCGACCTCGTTGAGATCCATGGGGGCAGTCACTGCCGCAGATGGAGCGATGATCTGTACACTGCCATGTCGGGTAAACTTTGGTGGTGCAGACGCATTCGGAACTGTCATGAGTTCCGGATCCGAAACGGGAGAGTTGCGTTCAGCTTCTGGTAGCTCGTCGGCTTCGTCAACAGTGGCTACTACACCCGATCCACCGGATGCAGCTGCGGTAGCGCTACTGGGCAGTGAGAATCCACGCAATGCACCGATGGCACTGAGTGCCTTGATCTTCTTACGCGCGCGTTTCCACTTGGCGTGAACTGTGAGCTTGGCGTTGATCCGGAATCCCTCCATGAACTCGTTGATGTTGATCTCATTATCGTGGCTGAAGTCCATCATACGCATGTAGTCCAAACCGTTGGTACTAAAAGGCTTCGTTCCAGGTGGCAAGTGCTCGTTCAACAACTTGATACCGTTCTCCAACTCGTCCACAGAGATCGTACCGTTACCGTCACGATCCAAAACACGGAAGAGAGCTTCAAGACGAGAGCGATGACGGTACAGCGAGTTGAAGGCGCTGCGTTGCTTCTCACGCTCCGGGTCAGTGTTCTCGTCGCTCTCGGTGCGTTTTACTGCTCCTTCGGCGTTGTATCGGTCCAAAAAGTCGTAGTATGGCACCAATCCCTCTTCGTCCAACGCAGTTAACAGGGGTTGAAGAGCCTTCCAGTCCAAAGACAAGTCCAAAACGTCCTCCATGATGGTACCCCACGTCTGGACGGTGAGTTTGCCCGATTTCTCCTGGTCAAAGTGCTCAAACTCTGCTACCAAGTCCGCACGGTACTGGATGATGAGCGAGAAGAGTGCATCCAGGTTAGACACGGCCATGTCGCGACTCTCAGCACTCGCCATGTACTGGAAGAACGCAGGTTTATCCTTGCCAGAAGGCACGCGCATAAAGCAGCCCAGATTATTGGCTTTACCGCAGTAATTCGACGCTGAGAACAGCGTAACCAGCATCCCTTTCTCCTTGTATGGCCAGTCGAAACCTCGCGGAACACACTCGTGGGAGCGAACAACCAGAGCCAATTTGTTCTTGGTCATGAACTTCTGCACGATATCGGGGCCATAAATCGTACCAGCGCCCCGTTTGTTCTCTTCGTAGCCCTTGGAAGCCTTCGGATCACTCCACAATAAGTCGCGGATGATCTGCATCTTGCGGTGAGGTTCACGATCCTTTCGGCTCTTTGGCTTCGTGCGATACCTGGTGAGATCGTAGCCAGCACGGTCCAGCGTGTTCAACTCCTTAACCGGAATATTCTCACGCGGAATTCCTCCATGCACCACAAGCACACGGTCATCAATGAGTGTGGCCAGTGGGAGATAGCGAAAACTCTCACAGAAAAGGTCGTACACGAATCGATCGTACTTGACTTCGCACTCTTTCATAAAGCCAAACACTTGGGTGATCGAGTTCTCTTCGTGGTTGCCACGGTTCAACAGCACGTGACGTGGATATAGCAGTTTGAAGAGGTAAATGATGATGGCGATCTCCACGCCGCGGTCTCCACGATCGACAAAGTCTCCGTTAAACAAGTAAGGGTTGCTCTCAGATGGCACGCCGTTCTCACGGAGGATCAATAGCAAGTCATCTAGCTGTCCGTGCAGGTCTCCGATGATGGTAATGTGGTTCGCAGGAGCGATCTGGAACTCCACCATGGTCGGATCTTTGCGGAACAGCACGATGGCTTCGTTGATCACGCGCACCACGACGTTACGCGGGATTTTGCGGCCATTGCGACACGAGTCGATGAGGTTTTCCACGCTTTTGAGTGTGATGACGTCGTCCAGCTCGTCTCCCTGCACGTACATGTTGGCAATGTCGATGTTGCCCATATCCTGCTGGGACACGGGGTGGGGCTCTGACGGCTTCTGCTTGCCATCATCCAGACCGGGAATGTAGTTCACTAATGCGTCCAAGAACAGTGACAACTCCAACTGCAGCAATAAAAAACAATATAAAATATCGTCAGAAATCAGATTCAACTTGTCAAAGATAATTGATACATTGGCAACGCACCACTTCAGCTTCTTCTCGGTTCTCAAGGTCGTTAAATAATTTCCAATTGGAAATAATTTGGTCCTCGGTGGGGGTTGACGCTGTCGAGCTGGATGGAGACGGAGGGGGTTCCTGAGGTGGCTCCTGTTGAGGTTGAGGTGGGGGTGGAGCTGCAACGTAACGCGTGTCAGTTCCCGTATTGCTGCAACGTAAGTTGGTGCATCTTACCTGCTCGCTGCTCGCTGGCTGTGGGCTGCGAGGTCTTGCTATTGCTGTAGATTTCACAGTTAGTGTTGAAGGTCTCCACAATGATACAATTAATGTACGTACCCAGTTCCATTCTTGCGACGCGGGTACTTGGGCGCTAGACGCGTGGGGAGCGGCGCGTCTCTCGGGTGCGCGTTTCCATGATCTGAAGAGGGTTTATTGCCCATGACGGAGCCCGCAGAGGTGCAGGAAGCGTGCACCTATGGCGGGAGAAGGTCAAATGCGCATAACGTCTGACTTGTTTTTAGAGTCGAAATTATGGCGAATCACATTGGTCAGACAGATTATGGCGAATCAGATGTCGCAAATGTCATTTGGAGTAGACCCAATCGTAGACGTGGAATTAGATCAAGCGTGTGTCAACAAGTTAACAAAAACTTAGACTTTAATCCAAAAATTAACCAAATCGGTCCGAGTTAATCAACAATTTACTCGAACGTATGCAAATGCTTTAGGAAACTTGACCATGGCGCGGTGGCTACTGCGTTCGACTCCGGACGACTGTAAACATTAGTCCGAGAGCGTCTGGAACGCCTGCTCCACTTCCTCGTCCAGGCCGGTGAAGAACGCCTTAAGTTCGGCTTCCGGCTGCTTAGGCAGCTGGAACTTGGTCTGGATGATCTTCTGCAACACTGGGTTCATGGACGTCTTGATCTGTGCCCACGTCACCTTGGCATCGGGTGGCGAGTCAGCGATGGCCTTCTGGCTCAAATTGTAGAACAGGATGATCGATCGCAGCATACCCACACTCTTGACCAATGGACAGGTGAAATCATAGTCCGAGAAGGCGTTCTGCTGCAGGAAATCCTCACGGATGATCTTGGCCACTTCCATGATCACCTTCTGATCCTCCGACAGCGACTCCTTGCCCACCAGCTGCACGATTTCTGTCAAATTGTCTTCCTTCTGCAAGATCTCCTGGCACTTGGTACGCAGCGTCGAGTACTCCGGGTCGATCTTGTTGAAGAAGGGCTCCAACACACGCATGTACTTGGTGTAACTGATTAGCCAGTTCACGGACGGGAAGTGTTTGCGCTGAGCCAGCTTCTTGTCCAGACCCCAGAAGACCTGCACGATACTCAACGTAGCAGCCGTCACAGGGTCCGAGAAATCACCACCAGGAGGCGACACGGCACCCACGACAGTGACGCTACCCTCGCGCTTGGGGCTTCCAAGACACGCCACACGACCAGCACGTTCGTAGAAAGCAGCTAGACGAGCACCCAGATAGGCAGGGTAGCCGCTATCAGCCGGCATTTCACCCAGACGACCCGAGATTTCACGCAGAGCCTCAGCCCAGCGACTGGTCGAGTCCGCCATCATCGACACGTTCATACCCTGGTCACGGAAGTACTCGGCCAGCGTGATACCCGTGTAAATCGAAGCCTCACGGGCAGCCACAGGCATGTTACTGGTGTTGGCCACGAGCGTCGTACGCTTCATAATGGGCACTTCACGGTCATTGACCGTCATCGTGAGCTCAGGGAAATCGTTGAGCACTTCAGCCATCTCGTTACCACGCTCACCACAGCCCACGTACACAATAGCGTCCGAGTTTGAGTGCTTGGACAGAGCCTGAGAGATGACCGTCTTACCACAGCCGAAAGCTCCGGGCACAGCGCACGTACCGCCCAGTACAGACGGGAACAACGCGTCAATGATGCGTTGACCAGTGGTCAGAGCCACGTTACCGGCCAGCTTCTCAGCCACCGGACGAGGCTTACGCACAGGCCACATGTGCGAGAGTCCGAGCTTGTGGGTGACACCAGTGGTGTCATCACGCACCTCAAGTACCGTGTCTTTGAGTGTGAACTGCTCGTTGTTGTCCGTGCCAGAGCCGTAGATCTTGACCACAGTACCGAAGACATTGGGCGGACACATGATCTTGTGCGAGTGCAAGATGTCGTTCTCGTGCACTAGACCGAAGATATCACCGCCAGAAATGGGGTCTCCCTCTCGGAAGTTCACAGGCTTGTAGCGCCACTTCTTGTCGGCGTTCAGAGAGGCCACATCCACTCCACGAGGGATGTACACGTCCTTGCTGAGGTCGCTAATGGCGTGCAGAGGACGCTGAATACCGTCAAAGATGTTGTCCACGATACCAGGACCCAGTTCCACGGACAATGGCTGCTTGCGACGCTCCACCGGGTCGCCCACAGTCAGACCGGACGTGTCTTCGTACACTTGGATGGAGGCATTGGTGTTCTCCAGCTTGATGATCTCGCCCACGAGCTTGTCGTGTCCCACACGCACCTACAATGAGCCATCACTCAGTTAAATTCTAGTATTATTGTTGTTTAAAACCCAGTTGATAGGATTACCAGCTCGTACATGGCAGCGCCATGCATGTTCTCGGCGATCACCACTGTTACAGTGCAGGAATAAGGTTAAAACGAGGTCAGAGGCGGTTATTTGGGAGGGGGAAGAGCGACGTACGCGGGCCCGAGACCTTGTACACGTAGCCGAAGTCGGACTCCTTCTCATTGTCGCCGAACACATGCGCCATGGCTGCTGCTAGGAAGAGATCTTCGCTCGACTTTTGGCGATCTTTCACTTGCGTTTGGTATGTGAAAGCGGAGCACGACCAACTGCTGGCTTCAAGAGGGACAGGGTGTCACGCTTACTATTGTGAAAAAGGGGTGAGATAATAGAAACCCCTCCATGTTGTATGCCAGTTGGTCGTCAAGATCCTATCCAATCTATTCGCCGAAATAGAACGCCTTATTACGACTTTCTCACTGGACAATAACTTCAACACGTCGATTGGTGCAAAACCCACTAAATCCGTATCATTGGCTGAAAATCAGATCACTTTGGTTGGCATCAAGAGGTGCAGCCATTTGGCATATCACTTCGATGGTAGACCAAGTTGAGCAGGTCACAGCAGCGGTGGAGGCCGCGACGCTGAGCCCCAAGGCTGCAGAGCAGCCCAGTACTCCTGCATTCTCTTACGCAGCGGCTGCAGCTGCTCCGGCGGCCCCAGCGCCAGCCCCGACAACGAACAAGAAGGTTCTGCACCTCGTCATCGACTCTGGCGCTATCATCAAGGGCACCAACCTGGCCGTACTGGCTGAAGTAAGTTACCTTATCATAGAGTAGAGATTGTGTCCATTAATTCCTCGAAATTTCGGCGATAAACTCACCACGGGTCTTGGTTTTACCACCACTTGTAGAATTTCTGGACTGTCCCCGATGTGTTGGACGAGATCCGCGATAAGAAGTCGCGTGCCATTCTGGAACGACTCCCATTCACACTGCAGACACGTGAACCGTCGGCCGAGGCCATGAAGGCTGTGGTTAACTTCTCCCGCAAGACTGGAGACTTCACCTATCTATCACTCACGGACCTGCGTGTCATGGCTTTGTCCTATCAACTGGAGGTCGAAGCCAACGGTGCCGACCATCTACGCACCAGTCCGGAGCTATCACAGACCGTCACTCGTGCAGCTAACGGCAAGATCGTTGGCGGCTCACAGACCAACATTCCGTGCAAATATTTCGGCACAGCCATGGGTTGCAAGTACGGAGACGAGTGCAGGTTCACACACGATGAGACAGCAGTTGCCAATACTGAGGGCGATGCTGAAGCTCCCAAAAAGAAGGTTGATATCCCGTGTCGCTTCTTCAACACCCCCGAAGGCTGCAAGTACGGCGCCGAGTGCTCGTTCGTTCACGAGAAGATTGAGAGTGATGAACCTACTCAAGAAGAAACAGAGGAGCCTGTGGTCGAGCAGGTGATCAGTGAGGAGATCCGAAACGCTGACGTCAAGTCGCGCATTATGGGCGGATTCGCTGCATCCAGTAACGCTGGTGCTGCTGAGGATGACGGCAAGAACTGGATCACCAGCGACAATTTTGCCAAGTTCACAGCGTCTCCGTTCGGCGACGGTAAAGGTCTGGAGGAGATCTCGTCTCGACTGTCTGTAGCGTGCATCACGACGGATTTCTCCATGCAGAACGTGATGCTGCAGATCGGCCTGCGTCTTCTGTCGACGGAAGGAATGATCATCAAGCGTGTGAAGCAGTGGATCTTGCGTTGCATCGCTTGCTTCACGACGTCCACCGAGATGGATCGCCTGTTCTGTCCTAAGTGCGGTAACAGCACTATGGAGCGCGTGTCGTACAGCCTCGATCGTGACGGTCACATGACGTTTTACACACGTGCAAACCGCCCCACGAAGCTTTCAGGCACTAAGTATTCTCTACCCAAGCCCAAGGGTGGCCGTAACGGCGACTTGTTGCTGCGTGAGGATCAACTTCTAGTTGGTATCTGGGGCCAACGTCAGCGTCAGCACAAGAAGGTTATGCAGAGCGCATTCGGCGAGAACGTAGCGCACGATCTCGGCGTTAAGGCCGAGAAGCAGACAGGAATTCAAGTGGGCTACGGACGAATGAACCCCAACTCACAGAAGGGTCGTGAGCGTCGTGGCAAGAAGAAGAAACGCAACTAGACTATGCGGGAGTTCGTACCTTTTTGATATCGTTATCGTTGAACAAGATGGTTGCAAATTTATCGGATTTTTGTGACCAATTTTAGCTCGTGCCTAATGTAGTTGCTGTCTAAGAACTGGCACTTCTAATTTAGTGTCCTACATGTACAATGCAGGAGTCTGGCTGGCAGGAGCGTGATGGTGGGAATGTGACGATACTGGACTGTATTACAACTGGAGCGCGTATTAACTCGCCTCGAAGCTTGGAAGCGTGTCGTCGAATGGGTTTTAAACCGAGTGAATTATTGCCCAAGACGGTGGTGGAGTTTCTGGATCATGGAGTTAACCGCAAATATTCTTTAGTGGAGAAGGAGGCGGCTGTGCTTCGTCACGAGCATTTCGAGCAGCTACGACAGCAGAAATTGGAGACTGTGCGAGTTGAACGTGAGGCAATTATCAACGGTCTGGGACCAGCACCACCTTCCACGGCGTTGCTATCTGGATCAGTGCCGGATAGTCCACTGCAACAGCAAGTGGCTCCAGGTTTCCCACCTCGTCGTTCTCAGTCAGCGAGACTTTGGAACGGGAACACAGAGGAACCAGAAGCTCTCGCTGGCTCCACGTTGTTGCAGTTAGAGGAGCGACGACTAGCACGGATCAAGCTTCGTCAACAGAAAGATATCCAAAATGCCATAGAAATGGAAGCCAAGTTATCTCGACTGCAAGAAGAGAACGCTCGACGCGCTGCTGAAGAAGCGAAGCGACAAGAAGAACAGCAACGCAAGTTGAAAGCTCGACGAATGCAGTTAACAGCTGCGAAGCACGAGAAGGAGCTCGCTAAGAAACGAGATGAAGATAAAGAAGCAATAGAACACAAAGCTCGAAGACGATCGGAAGCCGAACGTGAACGAGTATTAGCCGAAGAGGCCAAGGAGAAGGCGCGTTTACGAGCGCAAGAAGCAGCACAAAGAGATTTAGAGCGACAACGGAATGCTGATGCTTGGCAGGCACACACCGAGGAGCTAATGAGGCAACAGGAAGAAGAAGTGGCTGCGAACCGACGAAGAATGTTGGAAAAAGAGCTACAAGTTGCGTTGAAGATGGAAAACGCGAACAAACGTCGACATCAAGAAGCGTTGGAGCGACGAGAGAAGGCTAATGCACGTATACAGAACGTCACATACCAGAATGAGTTGACCATCGCGCGTAAGAAGCAGGAGGTGACAGATAAACAAGCAGCAGCGGCTGAGCGTGCACGAGAGATCGAGAAGAAAACCATAAACGAGCTTAAAGAGCGCGCTGCAAAGTCTAAACAAGAGGAACAGGTTCGTAAAAAAAGACTCGACGCTGCACACGCATTACGTCAAAAGCATGTGAGCGAGTTGCTGGCCAAGCGCGAGCAGCTTGAAGCGAAGATGGAGGACACACAACATGAACGAGAGAAGGCGCGATTATTGGCACAAGTGGAGCATCAATTGTCGATCACTCAAAAGGAGCAGAATGTTGCGAGAATTCAACGAATGGAAGCGTATGCACGTCAGCAATTACTGCAACGGATCGCATCGGCAGACGCCCGATCAAGAGCAGTCAAGGAGCGGAAGAGGGCGTTACTCCAGGCTCGACAACAAGTTGCAACGGAAGCAATGATCCGTCGCCATCGACTTGCTGAAGCGGTCGAGAAACTGCGGACAACGTCAACTAAGTGGGACAAGATCGAGGAGATCCTGTACGTCTATACTAGTCATTTGCGAGGAACTACCTAGTACTTAAGTATCTAACTTGTGTCTTTGTGGTTGTTTTCTTAGAGATCGTGAAGCGCATACTGCGCAGCAATCGCCATTATTGACACAACCAAAAAGTAGTAATGTCGATTGGTAAAATTCACAGTAGCAACAAATAACTTACGAGAACTTTTCCTACAATTTAAAACAATTAAAAAAAAAACAGTGCACTCACCACTGCGCGTAGCTTTTTCTCGTCTTGCCATGACGAGCCCGTTTCTTCATGGGGTGGCAACTTCTGTCCAAAATGGATAGCGTTTCCGCTGCAGTACGTTTCTGGTAACTCGTTCCACGACGGGAAAGAGCTTTGAGCACTTTGATCCCTCCTTCTTGTTTGATCACTTTCCTGGCGTGTTTCAAGAGCGGACCCACTCCGATAGCGCTACTGTAGCGTCTGCCGCAGCCAGCAATGCAGCTCACCACAAACACTGCATTCTCCAGTAATTCACCAGTTCCATTTTGCAATATCTCCACTAATAAATCCATCCCTCCGTCCTCCACGATTTCTTCACAATTGCTTGAACTGTTTACAGCAATATTTGCCAGTGCACTCGCGGCGTTTCGCTTTTGTTCGTCATTGCCCGTATCAAGCAGATGTACCAAAGGTGCGATCGCTCCCTCCTCTGCCAGCACAGAGCAGATGCTTTCAATCGTAGACAGACTAGACAGCGTGGCCGTTGCACTTGTCTTCAGCTCCTCTGTGGACAGTAAGGACGCGACAAGCAGTGGAATAGCGCCCTGCTTCACGATGACCCAAGCATCTGCTTCACTCTTAAAGTACCAGCTCAACATATCCGCTGCGCGTTCCTTCTGCGCGTTGCTGCCGTCTCGAAGCAGCCCAACTAGGCCGGTAATACTCTCCTGTGTCAACGGATATTCCACTAGCAGGGAGGAACGTCAACGCATACGGAGCAAACATTTTCTCCACGTTTGTGTTAGCAACCAGCAGCTCCGCAAGGTACGAGATCGCCCCGCCCGCTTCAATAGCCAGACTGTTCTCCTCGTTATCACACGCTAAGCGACCCAAAGTATACGCTGCCAGCCCCTTTTCAGCGCTTGATCCAGAGTGCAACAGCTCGATCAGAGGCTTTATAGCTCCTTCGTTAGCTATAACGACTCTGGTGTCGTCATTGTCAGCCAAGTGTCCGATAGCTTCCACTACCCACACCGTCAGTCTCTTGTTGCATTTGGTTAGCAGCTCCACAAATAAAGCCAAAATACTAGAATTTGCCAGAATTTGAGTAGTTTTTGCAGCCGCAATTCCAGAACAGTACACAATCGCCTTCAATTTCTCTTCTTCTTGGCCATTGCGAAGGTCGTTCATCATAGACGTACACTCATCCGATGTAGCGTCATGGACGAATTCTTCAAGAGCTTTAAGGTCTCCAGTGGAGAATCTGGAGTCGACCACCGAGATCCAGCGTAAGCAGGACAGCGCACAGATCTGCACGAAGTGAGAGGAGCTGGTTTCCACCGCACAAATCAAAACGTCAACGCCATCGGTCTCAATTATCTCTTTGCGCTGCGTCTCGTCCAGACATTTTTCCAGTAACAGAACCAACGCTTGCTCTTGATCTGATATTCTACCACGACGAAGTGCCTCCAAAAGTTCTGGCACTGGGATGTCTACATGTAAGCTCTGGGGATTGGTCCTCAAACTCGCAGTGTTCACTTCGGTTCCACACTGCGAGCAAAACCAAGAGTCCGTTGCCACCTCCGACGAGCAAGCACTGCACGTGATTGCAGCTTGTACTGCCATAGCAGTTTGCTCCGCCAATCTTTTCATCTCGGCGATGACGCGCTCCAACGACACGCGCTTTGTTGGATCGCTATCAGTCATGGCCAGAACCAACTCCCACTCGTCATCATTCATACTCCTGGGTCGGGTCGGGGTCACTCCGTGTCGTAGGTTGTGGCGTACATCGTCATCGTCAAGGAATTTAAAAGGCGGTTCGCCAGCCTCTGGCTCTATCAAGCACATAGCAAATGAGTACACGTCCGATGCGAATGTTGGCCGCTGCTTCAAACACTCTGGAGCACCCCATCGCAAACTGCGTGATAGAGACTTGGACACAGTTCGTAGAGTTGCTAAGCCATGGTCAGTCAGCTTGGCTTGTCCATTGGAACCCACGAGAATATTGTTGAGCTTGAGATCTCCATGCACGACGCCCTTCTTATGGATGTAGTCCAGTCCCAAAGCTGCCTGGTAAAACAGCCGCCACTTGTTCTCGTCGCTGCAGCTTAGAAACGAGCCGAGGCCTCCGTAGATTTCTTCTTCCCACACAATGAAAGGCGGCAAACTGACGTGAGAGGCGCCGAGAATCTTCACCAAGTTCGGATGTGTCAGTTGATACAACTGATCCAGCTCTGCCTTGATGTGCTGCCTCTTGCGCCCATCAATCTCCATCGAGTCAACCGCCGAAAAGCGCTTCAAGGCCACTCTTGTGTCTGCACCCCACACTGCGTGGTGCATGGAGCCCGAGGGCCCACAGGCAAATGGTTTAGCCTCAATAACCAGCTCAAACCTGGGAAGGAACCACAACGGAACGCTTCTCACGACCACATGGGACCCCATACTGATCGTTCGTATCATCATCTCCAGGTTATCAACACTGTCTCCTCGCTGCTGCAGCTCGAACTTCAGCGTAAGTAAGGCTTCCACTTGAGACTGCGAGTCCTGCAGCTCACTGAAAACCACCGCAGAGTCTCTAACCGTTGCAGCTAGCGCAGCTTCCAGCGCTTGCACGTCGTCACTCCATTGTTGCATCCAATATGTTAGCAGCAACGCCAAGCAACTCAACTAGGCCGCAAACATCTTGGTAGATTTGTCGAAGCTCGTTCAGTATGGTCTGGTGCCTGCACACTCAGAACAGCAGCTCTTTCTTCGAGTACAGCTTTAGAAACTTCACGAACGTAGTCAACGCAGCCACAAACTTTGTCCTTGCATCACTGTCAGTAGAATCCACCACGTTGTTCGCGTTCTTCAGGTTGTTGTAAACGATTTTTTTTAGCAAACTGTAAAGATGCTCGCACATTTGCTGAGCTTCGTTCATACTGGGCCACAACTGCTGAATGGTAAACAGAGTCTGCACAATTGAGCCCTCGCCAGCGACCACAATGTTCGCCAACCCGGTCATGATAGAGCAGCAGAAGGTTCTTGCTTTATGGGATTTTGCAGAATGGCAAGCGTGTTGGAGCGAGATCTTGGGACGCGGAAGTCCATAAAAGAATTCGCGCAATGCAATCGCATTTAACGCAAGTCAATCTCAATAACGTCCTCCTCTCCTGTCCCTGTTTTCAGTAAACTATCGCTTGTTGAAGTCGGACGTGGAGCCGCCAGTGAGAGTCTGATTGCCTGCTGCAACTGCTCGTTATCACTATCGTCACTGTCAGAGACAGTCAGATCTACAACAGAAGACCCAGCAGTGCGTGCTCCAGCGGCTTCGTCACCTCGAAGTTGGTCGGGTGGCTCCAGTCGATCTCTATCACGCCCACCAAGAGTAAATTGCTGTGATGATGGAGTCTGATAGAGAGCTTGGACATCCCCCACTAGGAGGTATCCGTCTTCATCATAGGCAGAGAGAACGACGGGAGTTGAGGACAGGAACTTGAGCTTTGGCCAGCCTGAACTCTTTGTATCGCCATCCTGCTCTTTCTTCCGCTTCTTGTAGCTATCGTTTCCAGCATCAGGTTGATTCTTTCCAGCACTCGGAGGCTTTGTAGGCGGTCTTTTCGCTTTACTGTTCTCGGTATCACCGTCCTCCTTTATGGTCGGGAAAAACTGCTTCACACTCGGTGCAGCTTTCGCTACTTTTTCTTTCTGCTTCTGCTTTTCCGCACGAGCGAGTTCTCTCTCCTTCTTCTTCGCCTGCTTGGCTGTGAACTCTGCTGGCTCCTTGATTTTAGTGTAGCTGCCACCACAACTTCGTTCGTGGTCAGCCCACCAGCGATCTGTCGGTCCTGGCGCTCGGTTCATCGACCGCTTGACAAGGCCAAAGTACGGACGAGTGTGTCGGCACGGGCCCTACAACATTATCAAGCATAGATTAGCATCTACTATCCCTCATCTCGACTCCAACCACACCCACATTGCACTGCCACACGTGCTGTCGGTATGAGTTCACTTCGTCGTGAAAAGTGTGAAAGACCGTGATCTCGGTCTTCGCAGCTTCATTGATCCGGTTCATGTGCGCTTGAAATAGTGGTCCGTGGTCCTCGTGGTCGCGCACGGGAGTCGCTACGAACACGTACGCGTGGATCATCTCGTGCTGCTCAATAACCACACTGTCAAAACACCGAATCTAATGGCTACATCACACTTAGCACAGACTCGTTACCAGTAGAGTGTTGACCATGTCGCTGCGTGGTCGAAGCTTCAGCAATGGCTCACTGATAAAAAAAAAAGGAGAGAAATAATTAATTTGACAGCCTTCAAGAGTTTCAGAACGTCTTCGTACCTCAACCGAATCGAACAGAAGCCGCTACGAGGCTGGAAACTGCACAGTCCAGCACTGTAGCACAGCAGGTAAATAAAATATTAGTGCTGTGAATTGTTTAGAGAATGTCTTAATGTACCAGAGTGTCATGCGCCTGCTCCACTTGACCTCACAGCCGGCCAATCGACCTTCGAAGAACATGCGGTTGTACTCCTGTATAAGGTGCAATTGCTGTTAACCATCATTGGCAAAGTATTATATCGTGAGCGGGTCTTGTGCGTACCTGGAAGAGTGAGTGCAGGTCTGGGTTGGGATCTGGAACGGGGAACAGTGTGAGATATCGATGCTAAAACGCTCGAAGAATAGGCGGAGGCGCGTGCAGCAAGAGGCACATACCTAGATACTCGTTCTCTCGAGCCAAAAGATCGCACCGCTGTGTTGCGAGCGTGTCTCCGCGAGCCGTGGCGACGGCGTGTGCTAGTGCCATGTTGCAGAGAGGTCACTAAATTGTCGCTTGTGGCAGAGGTTAAAATTTCACAATGTATACTTAGGCGGGAGCTGTAGGCTCGAAATGTAAACTTACGGTGGCATGTCGAAAATAATTGAAAAACATGCGTTACCTGTCATTTCTTTCTGTCTGAAAGACACAAAAAAAACACGCGAAACATGTAAAAATGACCAAGTACCGGTATACTGTTAGGAAAAGTAGAACGCTTCATTTCCTCTACCCGGATCTCCAACTTGCGCATCAGCTCCTCCATCTTGCTCTCGAACTCCGCCACACTGAGCGACATCTCGATCTCCTGGCAGTTCATCGTGTCGCCTGTAGCTGCCTCGCACTCACTGCGATGTCCCTCGCCAATTAGAGCTCTGTACTCACTTGCGACGAGAATTTCAGGCTGCTCTTGCATTTCGTTCTTGGTGAGTTGCTGATGATCCCATGGCTAAAGGCGCTGCTCGTTGCTGGTAAATTGTAGAATGCCAACCCGGATCCAACCTGATGACACCATGTAACCACAGTGTAATGACGCATTACATTGAACATGCAAATACGTTGGAAAACTCTAGCAAATGTGTCCTTAACGTTTAAATAGCATGATCGATTCAAATTTCTGACACGAGGATATGCTGAACTTCACGATATAGAAATTGAAGCATGTTCGGTTTAATGAGGAAAATAATTAAAAGAAAGCAGACTTGCACGCCAGTGCTAGTTAGCAAAGCTTGGGCACCGCCTAGGTAGTGTCATCTCATACGCTATGGAATATCCTGCCGTTTGTCAGGGTGGAACGCACAATCTCCAGGACCTGTTTCTCACGGTCCATCAATACTTTCACCTGCCGCAGCACGAGCAGCAGCTGCAGCATCTTCTCAACATACAGCTCCATTTCCTCCAGTGCGATCACTGTGACGCGATTCAGCTCCTCCTTCGTGCTCTCTGTCTCCGCGAGCAACACCTCGATGTGATCGATGTGATCGGGGTGCATCATGCCACCTGTAGCTGCCTCATACTCCCTCTTCTTCGTTCGTGTGGAGCTAAAACTCTGCGTTTGCTCCCGATGTGCGTTGGCGGAGGCTGAACTTCGCGAGCTTGTGACTTGGTGATGATGTTCGTGGTCTTGCTCCGTGCTGGAAAGTTGCAGAATGGCAAATTGATGACGCAATGTAGTCGTGATAGTGTAATGACGAGTTTCCCTGAACATGCACAACATGTCGGAAATTGCTTGCAAATATGCTTCTTGTACCGTAGTTCTTTCCTTCTCGTTGTTCCCATTTGTTGCATTGATATTTGAGTCGGATGGCGGACTACACCGGTAGAATTGAGATTAACGTGGTTATCATGGATATCATTCAGCTTATTGCAGGTTGTCCTTGCTTGCCTATTGCTTTTATCTACCGAATCTGCTTCTCAATGACGAGAGCCTTCATCTCGGACAAGTACAGAGGATTCACCCCAGCCTCCACCAGCTCGCCCACCTCCTCCATCCGGATCCTCTCCAACTTCTCCAACTCCTTTGCATATTCCTCCTTGAGTGCTTGACCCTCCTCCTGCTTCTTGACAAAAGCGAGCTTCTTCAAGCGCTCTTTCTCTTCGATCTGTGACTGCAGCACACGACGATGAGCCATACTGGCCAACTTGCGCTTTTCGTCCTCCTCCTTAACCCGAGCCTTGTCCGACTCGACCTGCACCATGATCGAATCGTATTCTCGCTGCTGCAACGTCGCCTCTTTAACGCGAGCACGTTCACGATGCAGCGCCTGAGCCTCGCGAGCTCGTCGAAGTTCCTCCATCTCCTCCTTGTGCTTCCTGGCCAAAGCCAAGTCGGCTTCACGAGCTTGTCGTTCACGCGCTTCAGCAGCTCGTTTGGCACGCAACTCGTCAAGTTCTGCCTTCTCGTTGGCCATTTTCTCCTGCATTGAACGCAACTTGGCGCAGCGTAGTTCAGCTTCATGTCGTCTCTGAGCCTCCTCTTCTTCACGTTGCTTGAGATCCTCCGCCTTCTTCATTTGATACGCATACACGGCATCTTCCTCTTCTTTAATCTTGCGTAGCACCTCCTGCTTGCGCATCAGTGTATCCTCGTTGAACCTCTTGATCTCTTCCATGGAGCGTTGAGCACGCAAAGCTTTCGCCTTCTCTTTCTCAGCTGCTTCTTCTTGTTGGCGTTGGATTTTTGCCAACATTTCTTGTGCTTCCTGAGCGACGATCTCGCTCTCCTTCTGACGTTGACGCCGACGATCTTCGATCTGGTCTTCCAGGACTTTACGATCAGCATATCTCTTCTGTTTCTTCTCCTCATCTCGATCTTCTTGTCGCTTGAGACTTTCAAGACGCTCGATCTCCATCAAAGTATTCATCTTTTCATCGTAAACGTGATGTTCTTCTTCCAGCTCCTTCTTCACCTTAAGCTGCTGGTCACGGATCGTGAAGGCTTGGGCCCGAGTCCCCAGTGTCTTCATCAACTTTACACTGTCGTGCATCTGGTCTTTCAGTACTCGAGCACGACGCAAAATCTCTTGTTTCTCGGCTGAGAAGATCTGCTCAATCTCACTCTTCGGAGCTCGCAGGGCTGCCTCTTCACTGAGCTTTAACATGTGCTCCTTTCGAGCTTTTGATGTCAAGCGTTGGTGCTCCTGATCCGCCTCACGCTTGGCTTCTAGCGCCTCCAAATCGGCAGCTTTCAGAATTTTCGTCTCTGCTTTGATGCGTTCCAGTTCGTCCTCGGGTAAGACCACGATCGGTTTCTTGGTCACCATTCTCTTTCCTGTCCGTTTAGTGCAATGACGATCAAATGTCGGCTTGCTTTCCTGTTCCACCGTTTCTTGGTTGGATGGAGTATTTGAATGGGTCCCAACGATATCCCTGGCAAAAGGAGGAACAGTTCGTAAGTGATCCCCTTCCCAAAGAGATGCAAATCAACATACCTTCCAGCTTGAAGCGTGCGATCATTCTTGCGGTTCTTGAGTAGTTGGTTCTTCTCACCAAAAAGCGTGTCGTCCACCTGAGGTGTATGTGCTACACGGCGATAGCGTCGAGATCCACCGCCGCCATGAGGCAACGAACTGCGGCTCGTGGACGAGTTCGTTCGTGCGCTCGAGCTCATCGCTTTAGTCTTCTGCTCCTTAAACCTAGCAAGGCAAACTGCACATGTATACCAAGTAAAAATACGCCGTCGTGGTCATGAGTTTCGTGCGTCTCCGCTATAAACAGCAAGTAGAAGAGAACCTTGACACAATGACACACCGAAATAGACAAGATATCCAGCGTATTTCACGACATTCAACTCCATTTAGCCTTCAATAGCCTCCATAATTCAGCTACTACTTTGTCGTCGCATCTCATCGACCTACAGCGCCGACAGCTTGATGGCCTGCTGCAGCGTGAACGTCTGTCCGGCCGGGAGCTTCTGCTGCTCGCTGACGCGGCCAGGCTCGACGCAGAGCATATTCGGATACTCGTCATCTCCGAAATCGCTCATGCCCTTGGCCTTGTCGATCCACGGGTTCCACACGACCACGTCACTTTGCTGAGCCGTGTGTGTGGCTCCGCTCTTGATGAAAGCCTCCTTCTCAATGGTAACAATCTGCTCCTTGCCGTCTGAGCGCTTCATGCGCACCACGACGGGTGAGGGTGCGTTAGCGTAGACGCTGTCCGTCTCTTGGTCCAAGGTCAACACGTCGCGCTCCTCGGTCTTCTCCTGACCCGCGACCTTGTCGTGATACATGAGGCCCTTGAGCCCCTCGACCACGACACCCCCGTCACGCACATTGTCGGCCGACAGATACGTGTGCAGTAGCGCCTGGAAGGCGATCTCGCCCTCCGATTTGTTCTGGATGTGGATGGCCGTAGCCAGCGCATTAGCGAAGAGCTTAACCTCGTACACGAGACCAAAGTCGTGCGGATACATGGCCTTCATCTCCGGGGAAATATCGAGCGCAAAGGTGGCGACTGTGGGGCTATTGTCGTCACCCACGGTCTGATCCAGCTGGCTCAACTTCCAGTTGTTCACACGTGTGAAGCCGTGGTTGGGGAATCCCTCGGCAGCGCCGAAGACTGGGAACACGAGCGGGATGCCACCTCGGATGGGCTTACTGCCGTCTAGCAGCGCCTTCGACGACAAGAAAAGCACATTACGCTCGGGCTCCTGCGCCGCGTAGAAAGAAGTGACTGTCGCACCGTACAGATACACCTCTGCACGCGAACCCGACGGGTGGCGCAGCTCGATGACCGACTTCTTGGCAGCGTTCATGCTTCGTATAGGAGGGAGCCCTGGGAATGCTGACGTAGCGAAAAGATACCCTGGATTGTGGTATATTATTGGACAAAATTTAAATTGTAAATTTCAGCCAATCATCGAGGTCGAATTTATCGACTTCAGGGTATCCACAGTTCCGTGTGGTAGCTACACCATGACGCTAATGAAGGCGTTGGGTGGGTGCAGCGTGCGGCGGTGGCTGGCTGCGTTGCTGGCATTAGGCTTGCTGTCCGTTGGGTTATTGTCGTACCGAATGGCGTCGCTGTCCTCGCTGTCGTTGCCTCGATTTCGAGATTTCCGTCGGAATCCGCGACCGCGGATGTCTCCGCCCACCTACATGTTGGTGCGCGCTATTGGAAACGCGTTACCACCACGCCATGACCCAGCAAGAGCGTTGGAGAACCTTCGCTTCACTCTGGAACACGAGCAATTGGAGGATACAGAATTGGCGACCCATTGGGTGCTCAACCGATTGGCGGATGAAAAAGTTGCTCGACAGTTCCGGGATTTGTTAACAGAATTCGGTGCCGAGTTCACTGAACTTCCGTTAGATCTGGAGGAGTATGCGCATGCCTCATTTCATGCGGTGATAGAGGACCGTGGAGTGGATCAGGTGCATATCGAGAACACGGGTGAGGACCTGTGGACCAAGAACCAGAATATCAACGCCGTCTACGGCAGCAAGAACCGATATGCGTTGGGCATTAACACGGCGCGGAATTTCATGTTAGATATTGCAAGAAACAGTGGGGCGAGGTGGTTGCTGCCATGGGATCAGGCTTGTTTCCTGACTCGCGAAGCTTGGGAGCAGATTAAACGCGATTTGGATAACGCGTCGCCGGACCAAAAGTACTTTCTGTCGTTTATGGATCGGTTGCAGGATAAAAACGATGTTATCTTCACTCCAGGTTTCAAGGCCAATCCATGGGAGGAGCCACAAATTATCTTCCGAAACGATAGTATTGAACGCTTTGACGAGCAGCTACGGTACGGCCAGAGAGATAAGGCTGCGCTGCTTGTTCGGTTGCAGGTCTCAGGTGTTTGGGACGGCTGGGGATGGAGTTCGTGGGAGCAGCGGCGTACCTATGCGAACGTGTCTAAGGATGTCACTGGACCCGAAGCAGTGCCCAGTACAGGTTACGTGTTGCGTTTATACTCCGGATTGACATCTAGCGCTGAGGCGAACCGCCCTTCAGCAGGTTACTGGCGCGAAATACGACGTGCGAAAGGCGTGATTGCACTGCTGAATACACTGGAGGAGCGGGTAATGCGAGAAGTTTACGATTACCACTCCAACAAATTCCTCATTTACAACGAGACCTTGCTACAGAAATTCAAGGAGAAGACAGGGATTGATGAAGATAATGAACTTATTTCGTCGCTGATAAACGATGCCGATCACGCTCGTTTAGTGTCGAAACCTTGGACAATTACGAGCAATGAGGCCCTCGATCCGAAGCGTGACCCTCGTGTGTTCTCGAATTTCTTCGATCATAAGTCAGAGGTGCTTGGCGACGGTGAAATTATCCGCGAAATGGCCTACAACACCACAGCGCTGGCTCTGGCTTGGCGTCTTACAGATAACAATCAATATGCTGAACAAGCAGCAGCCTTCCTTGATGTCTGGTGTGCAGACACGACGATCGCCATGCGGACCACGCTCGAGTACGCAGATATGTCGTACCAAAAGCTGCTCACGAGCAAAGGCAATTCAACTCGTGGGTCACTCATGGGGATTCGACACACAGCAGTGATTCCGATGCTATTGGATGCGGTTCGATTGCTCAATTCTACCAACTCGAACTCAACAAGCGAAGGAGTACTACCCCATGAATTAGGCGACAAGATCATCATCTGGGCTCAAGAGCTTTATGACAGTCTCCTGTCATCTTATGCGCGCGATACGTTTCGTTTGTCTCCTGGGCTTTTTGCTCTGTTATACGACGTGCAGGTGGCTGCATTGGCGGCATTTCTGGACAATCCAAATGCGCTCCGATTCACGCTTGGAACGATGCAAGGGCGACTGATAACGATGATATCACCCGAAGAGAAACTACTGGTGCCTACGGGAGTAGCCACCAAGCCGTATACTCTGCTGATGCTTGCTACTTGGGGCTTTGCGGTAGACCTCGCAGAACACTTTGGTCTTGCATCGCATCTTTTCCACTTCGATCTCATGCCAAATCGCCGCGAGGAACGAGTGAATAAAGAAGGTGGCTTACTCTGTCGATTCATTGGACACACTGTTCCATGTTGCCAAGCCAAGGTTACGAACGCGAATGTAGGTCACCAGTGCATGACAGCTCTGCAGCACGCTGATGAAGCGCAGTTATTGGTCTACTCGCGTATTGTACGGCGAGCTGTGGAACACTGCCCCATTTTGCTGAAGCGGCCCTCGTGTGCATCGCTTGCACGCGTCCAACCCAATTTAGCCGCTCTTTCCGCTCACGAAATGAGTCGCTATCTGCTGCCGTCGTATTACTTCTTAAGTTCGGCAGTGTGATCATCCTGGCACGTAGACAAAATGTTCATGAGCTGTATTGTAATGGATTATCGGTTGTAAACAATTTGTCCGAAGATCAACATGCACAAAGAGATACGTGAAACTACATGTACCATCCATATGTGGATAATCCGCTCTCAGAGATTCCAAATTTCTCGGGAATGAAGAAAGTTCATCGTTCAATACGGGCGAATTTCGTGTTGTCGTTTTCGTGTTGGCAGTCAAAGTTTATTAATACAGGCTCCACTGTGGAATTTCCACGACTATTCTATTTCCGTGCTCAGGATTTCAACTCACGCGCTACAGCGATGATAATCCATAGTGTACCCGTAACCATGACAAAGGCAGATCCTGGGATGGATCGATTCAGCATCTGTGGCTCAACAGCAGGATTGGCAGCTCTGAGTGGAATACGGTAAAGTTTACAATACCATCCAGAAGAACGATTCATTGTGGCGGCCCATGGAGGGGAACATCGCAGTCATTTCACCATCTGATTCCTCCAGCTCCAAGCACTATCGAATACAGCTCCGTCATGCGGCTATCCTACGTTGTACTCGCAACTATGGCGCAAGCACTGAGGCCATGGTGATCACTGCAAACTCCGTCCAGACCAAGACGTCCATCTTCTCGCTGAACGCTGTCAACCCCAATATCGAAGACCGCAGATTCCTGCGAGCTCACAAAAGTGCGGTTACTGCTGCAGACGAAGAACGCGGTCTACCGACCGCCACTGGGATCAAGGAGAAATTTTTCAAGCTTAAAATGAAGATTGCGATGCCTGGTATCAAGAAGGTTCTGGAAAATGTAGTGAGTGGCATATTCAAGTGATAGCAACTCGCTGCACAATCAAGAAACTAAACACTTTGAAACTCATCCTGATTTAACGTGTGAGAAACAGCACTACACGTAGATGGCATCGCTACATTGCAGCGGCATCTTTTGTTTTTGTTATGGGAGACAACTGCAGCGATCAATCTTTTAACCACCGTGCTACCTTAAACTATCGTAAATTCCAACCGCTGTCGTCGCTAAGTGTCAAAATCACACGCACATGAAGCGCTTTTGGCTTCCGCCCCACAGTTCTGACCAGGATCTTACTCGGACTTGCTCGTCGGCGCACTCTCCACTTGTTTTTGCTGCTGCTGACTGCCGGAAGTGGCTTCACCCGACTCCTTGAGCTCCTTGTTCTTCTTCTCCTGGGCCTTGCCGAACGCAGTCTTGCTCCACATCTTCTCAAACTCATCGGGCGTGCCATGAGAGCACATCGTGTGGTGCTCGCCCTCGTCCTTCGCGTTCTTGCGGTTCCAGACGGTCTTCAGACGCTTGCCCAGAACCTCGCGTTCGTGCTCAGCTTTCAGACGTCCAGTCGAGTCCTCGTAGCGGCGACGCGTGCTCATGACCTTGCAGCCCTCCTCATCCACAACGGTCGAGCTGCTGAACGAGTACGACGAGAAGGCGCGCTGGTTCTCCGTCTCGGGCGTCTCCTCCTCCTTCTCTTTATGCTGCTCTGCAGTGGGCAGGTCCTTGAAGAACTCCTCATCCGAGCTGACGCCGGGCACGTTGCGCATACTCATGGACAGCTGTGGCAGTGTACTCGTGTCCATCATGGACAGCTCCAGCATCGACATGGGGTGCCACAGCGTCGGGCGAACCAGATCCCACGTAGAAAACATCTCGACCTCTAGATTTCGCTTCCTCTCGACTTGGTCTCCCCTCAGACAGTTTGAGAATGACCTGGTTCCAAAGTTGACTACAGCACGCGTTGAAGCAGCAGAAAAAGCACCCAAGCCTCGTCGCCCAGCAGCGACAGGAGCCTCCGCATCTCGATCCTTTCCAACGACAACCGAAGAAAAGCAAGTTGAAGTGACTTTCAAGTAGGCTATACGCTAGTTTGAAATATGCTGTACTACAGTACATACTTAGTCCAAGTCTCATTCGCTGTTCGTAGCAGCATTGACGCGATTCCTCGAGAGCGTCCCTCGCTGCGATGCTCTGGCAACTGAGCGGTGCAGGTTTTTGTCTGCTTCTCTGCATTCCCATCGTCCGTGGACTGTTGGCAGTGCGCTCGCTCAATCGGCGTGCGCGTATCGAGCCTCGGATTTTCGTCCTAGCGCGATCTTTCCACAGACCGTTATATGCAGCATGTTTGCTGCTTGTGGTGCTTCGAGTGGCATTTTTCTTTCTAATTGCCACACATGAATTGGACGAGATGGAAGTTTGGTTGAAAGTGGCTACGTTCTGGCTGTTGGGCATGCCCAGTGCAGCTTTGGCGGCACTATATGGCTACATTGTGCTGTTCGCAGTTCGTCTCGTGTTCCGACGACGCTGGCCGGGAGTGACGGCATCTGCATCGAGTGGAATGTTAACTGGAGTGTTTGCAGCGTTTTGCACGTCTCTTGTGATGCTGGTGACGTTGGTAGCCACCTGTCGAGCTGAAGGAGGGAAGTGGGGGCTGACGGTGCCGGCGTGGATGACGTTCGGCTACACTGCAGTCATCTGGACGACGCTAGGACTGTTGATGATGAAGTATGAGGGCGAGGCAGTACGAATTCTGTGGAGATATCGACGTAGGAACCAATGGAGTACTGGAGATGGACAACAACAGGCGAATAGATATCGCCAGAGGCTGCCAGTGCTCAGTATCTCGTGTTTGAAGAATATGGCGGTGTGCAGCACACTCCTGGCAGAGCTGCTGGTAGTTCGAGGTGTTTTGTGTGCCGTTGCAGCATCAAAGGGCATTTTGCATGCAGTAGCTATTGAATCATGGCAAGTTATGACACTCCACTACTTCGGTTGGGAGATTGCAAGCGTTGTGATCGTGTTGTACATGCTACATCAGACACCGATTGCTGTGCATTGCTTTAGTGGCACAAGTAGTACTGAGAAGCCTCAGCAAGACATCGTTGCACCTTCGGCTCCAGTAATTGACGATGTCGAGATCCAAGTTGAGTTCCAGATACCGAGTGTCCGTGATATAGTCTCCGACTACGTCGTTCCGTCGAACGTATCGCTGTTTTCCACTCAGCGAAGTAGAATAGAGCGTGAGAATTTGATGGAAAGTCGCTACTGCCGAATTCATCACAGCAGGATGCCTTCGACTGGAGTCGAGTACATTAACTGCCGCTGCTATCGTGAAAGAAACGATGACGCGTTGTTGAACAACGCAAGCGTGCCGTTACTCTCAGAAGGCATGGAGGTCGCCACGCATCGCAATAAGAGGATATAGAGGATAGTGATTGTTGTATTTTTCGGATCAATATATTTGGTCGTGTTTAACTCTCAAATGTCCAAATCATCGTCAAGATCGTCGTCATCCCAATCCGGATCGTCTTCATCGATGAAGAATAACGTGTTGCCAGCACCAGGCGCAGCATTGTCATTCTTATTGCCAACATCGTTCGAACTGAACCCGCTGGAGCCTTGGTGCATGTACGGTAGTTGGACTTGGCTCTTGGCTCGTTGCTCTGCAGCACTGATGGACAAGTTGAAGCTTACCTCGTTCTGACGCACAGGAAGTGGAGGTTGGTCAGAGCTTTCGAACTCAATTGGGTGTGAGGTAGAAGATGCCTTTGCTTCAGACTGCGACTTCTGCTTGAACTCCGACTTTCTTCCACTCGGAGCTGCTGGTTTAGGGACATCTTTAGCGTTTGATGCTGAGTCCACTGATACACCGTGGCCATCAACATCTCCGGCAGCAACAAATTGTACCTTGTCGGACTGCACTTGGAAATACTCGATGCTCTCGGTGCTTCGGCCATTCTGTAGACGTAACATATTAGCGGGGTTCGTTGCTAAGGATTCGATCATAGCGTATAATTTACCTTTTTCTGTCGAACAAGTAGCACAAATCCATGCATTTCCTTTGGGATATCGCGTCTTCGCTCCTTGGCTAGTAGCGGGTAGGAACGCAAAGATGACCGTGTCTCCACATGTACCAACGCCGTCGCCTGCGCTGCCAGCGTTTGTGCGGTTCCAAGAGACTCTGCTCCGGCATTCAACCGCGCAATCACAGATCCAACAACAGCATGTCCACGAATTCGTCGAAGAAACAGCAGCACTTGTTGGAGCGAGGTCTGCTGCACCAACGCATTCAGCGAGTCTAGCACAATAACCAGCGGTCGAGCTGATGTCGCCCCCTTCAGCTCAACTTTAGCTTCAACACTCTCAATGTCTTGTGTCATTTTTGCCAGTAATTGGGACTTTGAAGACGTCGACGACTGGAAATTTGTGGCATCGGCGGAGTAGTCAACGTGTGTGAGCTTGACTGAAGTTTTTACACGCTGTGCCACTTGAGGTGACTCCTGTGCTCCACATAACGCAGAATAACGATTGTATCAACCACATTACAAGCAATATCAGGATTTTATTGCAATCCGTACCAGTGTGAGCAGCAACACGCTCTTCGTCTTGGCAGACTGCAAAATGAGCTTCGCCATGGCCGACAGAATGACCCGCGAGGCGCCATGAACCTGACGATTTTCTTGCACCAATACGCACTCCGCGCGCCCCGACGTTTGCCAAATTGATGCGGAGGCTTGAGGCTCCTCGTTATTTGCAGACTTGGCCACGTCGGACGTGACGCAGTGGTGCAACAGGAACTCCTCCATTAGCGATGACCACCAACAGCAAAAAAATAAGCTGTATAACAGGTCGATCAATATGAAAAACGATGGTATTGGGATCGAAACGACGTAACTTCAAACCGCGTCTCGCTCGACATGGCAGACATCACACATAGAGCGCGTAAAGCATCGAAACTGCGTACATTAGCAGTATTGTGGTGGGGAATCGAGATACTCTGCCTCGATGGCGCCGTCGCACAAGCCTCGAACACGACAATTCTGTATCGGTCGACGGTGACGCGGAATTCGAGCGATCCGGTGGCACGACGTCTAGTGGAAGGCCTACAATGCGACTTGGACCTCTATAACGCATTCATCGAGTCCGATGAGGGGCAGGACATCTTCATCATGGCTGCACTGTGCGAGTCGCGCATCGTATACCTGAAAAACGCTCGCGCTGGATGGTATGGACCCGTTCCGCAATCGGATCTTTCCTTGACCATGTGCTCGGACGAATGTTTGCGCAGCGATGAATTACACAAGAAAGCCATGTCGCTGTCGCGTTGCACGTGTGCTCAGGTGTCTGCCGAAACATTCGTACGTCACGATTTCTGCCTCCAGAGCTCCGCTCGACTGTTGTGTACTCATCTGAGCGAATGCGGACACTGGGGCTGTCAACTCGAGGACTTTAACTGCCTTCGGTACGAGTGGGATCATTTATATCCATGTGCTAGCTCTCGTGTAGTGATAAATGCCGTTGTAGTGGTGCTAGCCCTCGCTGCGTTTTGGTTAGCGTAGGCCTCTAATAAGGGTTACATCAATGGTTACGGTCAGGGTTACTTTCATTTTGCCAATCATCACCAAAGATGCCGATAGATCGTGGCGCAGGACGCGTCCACTGGGCGCTCTACAGTGACGCAAAGTGCTCCGATGCCGCTTGTGTACTGAATGGAATCCTCCCCGTCGATCAGGTGCGGCTGTCACAGCCACACATGCTCCAGATCTCGCCCGACAGCGTCTCAAACTCTACGAGTATTCGGCTGGACACAATCGGAATTCAACTCGCGTCAGCGCTTCAGCAACGTATTGAGAGCCTTTTGGAACGGCAACAAGACGGCAACGGCAAAACCAATAACCCGACAATGAACGTGAGCGACGACGCGTTCCCGGTCGCTGTGGAAAACCTCACGTTGGGATCCAAAGCTGCAGAGTTGGCTTTAGACAGCAAGGCCTCACTCTATTGTAAGCTGCAGCTGGAAGGCGAGGTTGAAGAGAGGCAAGAGGCTGATTGGTTTTCGTGGAAGTTGACGCGTGCTTCTGAGTACCGAGTGCGTGGCAACGAGTCTTTTAAGCAGGAGAACTACGGCACCGCGACGCGGCTCTACAAGCGAGCATTGACATGGCTAGAGCCGCCAGTTTCTCGGTCGGATGCGACGGTAGACGTGAAGATCGAGTACTCCGAGGAGGAACTGCAACAGGTGAATACGATTGCTGTAGCGTGTTACGCTAACATGGCTACATGTTACTCAAAGCTGGACGGAGACGGTGATGTGGATCGTTGTATCTCTGCAGCGTCAAGTGCATTGAAGCTGGACGATACACACGTCAAGGCTCGGTATCGTCGTAGTCAGGCTTATATAGCGTACAGGGAGTTCGATCTTGCAGTGGCCGATCTCACCAAGCTGCGCGATCTCGAGCCTGATAATAAGTTATTCCGCTCTGCATTGACGCGAGCCCAAGCTGCCAAGACGCAACTCCGCAAGAAACAGCAAAGCGCCTTCGCCAACCTCTTCGACAAGTAGAGCAGAAAGCAAATACAGCGAAGTAATAAAACAGCAGAGCAGAGAACCAGTAATTTAAACAGGGAGGGACGTGTTCCATTTTCGCTCTTTTGCTGCGGATTACCACGACGATCGAGACGAATAGTGGACGCACGTCCTCACTCTACTACTAGGAGCGCGTGCCTGCTCCGTTCATCCAGTCCTTCATCGTCGAACAGCAAAACGTACAGTTCAAACGACGGCATCGTCATCCAAAGGGCGAGACGCGAAACACGGACAACCAGAGCTCAAAGTGGCGGACAGCATCAATACTTTTCAGCAACTGCTTACTCCTCAGCGGCCACAGCGCGAGTGTAGATGAGCTGCGAGTGGTGGGCCAGCACCTTCGAGATGGTGCCGTTCTCCTCCAGCTCGTGGATCGAAGCGCGGGCAAGCGCGGCGTTCACCTTGAGGCGCTCCACGATGGCCGAAGCGGTGATCAGCTTCATCTTGGGGACCTCCACAAGCAGGCGCTCGTACGTCTCCTGGTCGTACAGCACCTTGTTGGCGACTTTCTCGCGGACCTTGCCCTTGGACCATTTCTTCTTGCCCTTGCCCTTGCCACCGGCCATGGCGGCGGCCATCTTCTGCTCCTTGGTCTTCTGCTGAGTCTTCGGCGGCTGCACGGCGTCATCAGCAACACAAAGGTGGAGGTGTTAGCACCGTCATACCCACTGCAAAGACCTGTTTAGTGCTGCTGTATGAGGCTGTAGACTGGAGCTGCTGCTGCTGTGTTATTGTCCGCATCTGAATGTCCCTGTATCATTATTTTTTTTTCTTTTCCTTTCTCGCTCCTGTTGTGTTGCGTCCGTTCAATTTGCCGCCAGTCCCAGCAGCAGCCCCATTGTCGTCTACTTGTCATAATGAAGCTAATTGCAGCCTCAGCGGCAGATCAGAGAACGTGCTTACCATGGTGACTTGGTGCTTGCTACAACGCTCCCTGTTTAATTAGCTAGTGCAGCCGTATTTGGGATTTCGGCGCCCAAGGACCTCGACCAGCCAACCGATGGAGGAAGAGCTGGACGGTCCCGACTGAGAATCGACCGGTTACAGTTTCTGGACCGAACCGCATTTAACCGTGATAACTTGAGAAATATTTATGATATTTGCACTTATTTATTAAATTTAACATTAACACTGACGTATCCGCTGCGGACATGGCTGCATTCTGGCGGCCCGGTGCGACGCTTCCGGGCGCGGATGCTGAGGCAGAAGCTACTCGGGACCTCCCTAAGGACGCGGAGGTTCCGGCTGTGCAGTTTAACCCGCTGCACGGTCTATCACTGCGCGCCCAGCGCTCACGATTGCCAGTGTCTAATCACCGCTGCGAAATCCTTTACGCGATCGAAACGCACGCCACGACAATTCTCGTGGGTGCCACGGGCTCCGGCAAGACAACGCAGGTACCACAGTATCTGCTTGAGGCTGGATGGGCAGCGTCTCGTCCGAGAAGATCTCAAGCAGTATCAGAAACAACGAGGAACAGGGTCATCGTATGCACGCAGCCACGTCGTGTCGCTACCGTGACGATCGCAGAGCGCGTGGCACAGGAAATGGGTTGCCGCGTGGGCGAAGAAGTCGGCTACGCTGTCCGGTTCGAGGAAAAGTGGAATCCGGAACGCACCAAGATCAAGTTCGTCACGGACGGATTATTGCTAAGGGAGACCATGCGAGACCCACTGCTGTCACGCTACTCGGTCGTAATGCTGGTAAGGGTGGGATTATAGTAAATTTTTTGGGGGTAGTGTGCTAACTTTATCTATTATTGCTTTGCATGTAGGACGAAGCTCATGAACGGAATTTGGAGACAGATCTGCTACTGGGACTGATCAAGAAAATTCAGAGGAAGCGACCAGATCTGCGAGTGATAATTGCGTCGGCTACATTGCAGGTAGATACGTTCGTGAAGTTCTTTCGAAGAAGGAAGGAGAAGGTGCCAGAACAGGGTGTGACGTCTTCGGGGAGACCACCCCAGGTACTGAAAGATGTCGTTGCGGTGTCGGTGGAAGGACGACAATTTCCCGTTGATATCGAGTACCTCCAGGAACCATGTGGAGACTATTTGCAAAAGGCTATCGATACAGTAATGGCTATTGACGAGCATGAAGGTGAAGGTGACGTACTAGTGTTCCTACCTGGTCAAGAAGAGATCGATTTTGTTGTGAGAGCGTTGAACGACAGAGCGCCGACGCATATCCTTCCCGTGCCACTATATGGAACACTTCCCCTTCATATGCAACAGAACGCTTTCCTGCCAGCTCCTCGAGGTGTACGTCGGAAAGTTATCGTTGCTACGACCATCGCTGAAACCTCCGTGACCATCGACGGTGTAGTGTTTGTAGTGGACGGATGTTTCACGAAGCTCGCTTTCTTCAACCCGCTGACTGGGGTGGAAGCTCTTATCACAGCACCCGTATCCAAGGCATCAGCAAAGCAGAGAGCAGGTCGCGCAGGGCGGTCGAGACCTGGAAAATGTTTCCGACTGTGCACACAAGCACATTTCCGCACCAAACTCGCGAAAGAAACAATTCCGCAGATGCAACGTACGAACTTGGCGACCGTGGCTCTGTATTTGCTGAGTATGGGGATCCAGGATCTGGCACACTTTGACTTTGTGTCGCCTCCTTCACCGGAGGCGCTTATACGAGCACTGGAGCTGCTGTTCTCGCTGGGTGCCATTGACACTGCGTGCCGTCTCATAGATCCATTGGGCACGCAGATGGCAGAGTTTCCGGTGGCTCCAGCATTAGCGAAAGTGTTGCTGTCATCTTTTCAGTTTGACTGCACGAGTGAGATGCTCAGTGTCGCTAGTGTGTTATCTGTGGGAGATGTTTTCCTGGGTTCACGCGGTTCCAGAGAGCGACAGGAGAAAATTGCTGAAGCCATGGAACACTTCACACATCCGGACGGTGACCACATGATGTACTTGTCCATCTACGATGAATTCGTGGAAAATAACAAGAGTCGATCATGGTGTGACGAATATCTACTCAGCCATCGAGCACTCTTGCGTGCTACAGAGATTCGTCGCCATCTCAAGCGGTACGTGACGCGTTTCAAGTCGCTGGAAAAGAATAATGTCTCTGCCAGCGACGGAGACTACGTGAAAATTGGCAATGGTGACGAAAGTGAAGATAAGGCTCGGAGTGCTACAATTCGCAAGTGTATAGTTAGTGGCTACTTCGCGAACGCGGCCAAATTGCACGCTGATGGAGTGTACCGCACACTTCGCGACCAGCGACCAGTGCAGTTGCATCCAACGTCGGTGTATTATCACATGGGCACGCTTCCCGATTGGATCATTTTCCACCAGAGCGTGCTCACGACGGAAGAGTTTGTACGTGACGTGTCGAGAATCGACCCACGGTGGCTCGTTGATCTCGCTCCAGATTTCTACCGTACTAAAGACGTCAGCCGAGCGATATCCGGTAGCTCGGGGGCTTTGGGTCTGCCATCCGCATCGTCTTCAATGCCAAGGAGCAAGAAACAGAAGACTAAAGCGTCAGAAGCGGACACGCCACCTCGAGCTACAGGCGCCGACGGTCGGATTCTGTTCCGAAAACCGAAACGTTCGGACCAGAATACAAAAGCCAAGTTGCCTGTGCATATCGGCAAAAGCAAAGGTGGCTTACGCTCGCAATTTTAGTGAATCACCAACTAAAATATGAAAAAAAGTTGCAATTTGCGATTCTCCCGTCACGAAAACGTTCATTACTATCGATACAGCTTAGCGTTATACACCCTCTTCCTACTGGTGTGGTCTCTCTCCGAACTGGCTGTCAGATCCTGCACGAAGTCGTCGATCTTCTAGCACCCTCATCTTTCTCTGCCGTCGCTCAATGGACTCACGTTGTCGGTCAAATACTGGCACACTGTAGTCCTGCAGCGAGACGTAGGACGAGCCTCGTTGTGAGATCTCACTGGGAGCCACACTCAAGAACTCGTCCAACACGGGGCTGTGCTTGGTCGCCGGGTGGCGAATGGCCAGTCGAAGAATCTCCTGGAAACGTTTCTTGCGTTGCTCTACAAGCCGCACGTCGTGGCGCTTGAGGTAACTCCAGACCCCTGCACTAGGCAGCGAAGGCAATGTGACTGTCCTGTAGTTGGTATTGGACACTGGAGGGCCCTTCTCCAATGCCGCAGCACTGTGTGGACTCAACGGGATGTGGTTCTCCGGTCCGTCCAGAGGAGACGGCGCTCTGGCTGCCACTGCAGCGTCCAATTGAGCCCTGGAGTCCTGGTATTCGAGTAGGAGACGACTGAGCTCAGTGTGTAAGTTCTTGAAGGCTCGGAAGCGACGACGGATGGTGTACGCGGACAAGATGCCGTCCGGGCCCTTGATATCCACGTGGTACATGACCACGCCCTGGTTATTGATGGAGTGGTTGTTCACCTCGATCGTCACTCCCTGGTACGGGTCCTGGAAGCCCGTTGGGGTCAGCAGTTGACTAGCGGACGCGTCATGGTCTGTTTCAACGTTCCAGAAGTTGAGCACATCGAAGCCACTAGCCTCGCTGGTGTAGCTGTCACGCAGCGCAAATGGGTCATTGAAGCCCGTGGGCTTCTCCAGAGCCGCCAAGCTGTTGCGGTTGGCGCTAGGAGGCAACTGGAACGACGGATCAAAGCGCTCAGGGACATCGGATTCGCTGAACCGGAGGCCGTAGGACGGGGGCGGAGGAGCAATGATCCGCATGACTCTATCACTCTGTTATGTAACTGTTGTGTCTGGCGCAAAATGGAGAATGAGGTGGATGTCAAACTGGGTTCTCAGGGCACGGCTGGGCTGGGTGGACGAAAGGGAAGCTGGTTGCTGTCGCAGTCGCAGATTGTCAGTGCCAAACAACAAGTGAAATTGAGTTAGGCAACGTTGCAGGTGGCGACTTACTGCGTTAGGCAACTGGGGGAAGGCGATACGAACCCTAATATGATAGCAGCGCGCAAAAAGCTCTGCTCTGCTCTGCTCGAAGGCAGGTGAAGACTTGGTTGTGGCACGCGAACGGTTCGAGAATGACCGATCGGTTCGCGTGGGTTGTACGGGAGTATCGCGTGCGGTTTCTCTCTGGAGCCTGCCAGTCACCTTCGGCATGAAACGCCGCTTGCTGTTGCATCAAATTGTATGGCTTCCAAAGCAATTCGACTTTTTCGCTCTCTCCCGCGGCAATGGGGGGAAACCAGGCGATCAACCATCAAGTCGAGTCTGCCACACGGACAAGCCGCACAACTGACTCGACCAATTTTTCGGGGGCGCTTGACACGCTCGCAGATAATTAAAAGCGCCACATGGGGAGTTGCCAACTCAAAGCGCACGATAGCGATCAATTCAGCAGAAGACATCGACGGCTTTCGTTCGCACCGGAAGGCATCACCACACGACGAATCTGAAACAGCAGTGCCCACACTGTAGCGATGAGCGCATTCTCTGCTTTTTGCAGAGACCATCGTCGGACTGACCTGCGCGCCTTTTCAAGATCACGTGGCAAAATAGTCAGACGGAAGCCGGTCCAAAATGTAGCCATGTCGGATTGGCAAAATGGTATGCGGTCAGAGGCCTTAATAAGATCGCCGCGTAGCTTTTGAGATTGAAGCCTTGCCAAATGAAAATATGATGTAGCTTCACGGCTCCATCTGTCTGTTTTATCGCTAAATGAGGCAGTGCAAGCTGGTAATTCTTTAGTTAGCGCAACTATTTTTGACTGTGAGCACTTTGGTCGCTCTGTCTGAGCCTAGGGCATTAACCTGCGGTGGAGGAGGAAATAGCTTGTTCCAGCAGGACGACCGAGCAGGCATTACAATAAAGAGGAATTCCTCTTCACTGCTGGCTGAGAACGTCGTGATTGCAGCCCACGTATGCCCCAAGCCTGACAAACTTCTTGTTTGATCTTTGCAATGGGCGGAGGTGTGTCCAAGAGCGAGTATGAGCGCATCCGCAAGGAATTGATACTGAAGGACCAGGTCATCCGAACATTGCAGGATCGACTGGCCAATGGTGGTTACATTGGTCCAATGCATGCCTCACCTGGAGATGCTGATGATACAGAAGAGTTGGCACCTCCAGAACGAACGACCACGGTGGCGAAGGCACGGGGTAAGGATAAAGATCGAGTGTCGGCTGCTGAGCCAACGTCAGGCCCAAAACTTGAAAGAGATGTCAGCTCTCGGTTTACAATGCTTCGTGAGGCAAAGGAGCTACGTAGAGAAGGCATCGATCAACCAGACTCCGAAGCTAAAAGTCGATACAATTCAATAGACCGAGGTACACCGGACATCGAAGATGGTAGATCACCACATATTTCTTCGTCAAAGGGCAAATTGCGGCGTGTCGAGGTGAGTGCCGAAGTCATGCCGAGTCGCAAGATCATGGCGACAAAGGAGCGTGTAGTGTATCCAAAAGGAGAAAGCTCCAGGCAACTTCTGCTCAAGATCTTACAGTCGAACGTATTGTTTCAAGGCCAGTCTCATGGCGAAATTCGTGATTGTTTGGACGCATTCTTCCCAATGCGAGTCGAACCCGGTCACCTGGTGATAAAACAAGGAGCGCAAGGGGATAACTTTTACGCCGTCGAGAGTGGACAGCTTGAGATTTTAGTATCAATGGGCGGGGCACCACCGATCCGGTATGGTTTTCTGGGTCCAGGACTTGGGTTTGGTGAGCTTGCTTTGCTGTACAATATGCCACGAGCTGCTACCATTCGTGCCGTGACTGAGGTGGAGCTATGGGCACTTGAGCGCAACACGTTCCGTGAAATATTAGCCTCGCACAAGCTAAACCGTCTCAACCGAACGCTCGAAGTATTGCGGAAGATTGCAATACTAAGCAAACTCACATCGTCCGAAATGCAGCAAGTAGCGGCAGCGATGGAGTGGGAAGAGTTCGAGGAGAACGCTGCGATTGTACGGCAGGGGGAGGTGGGTGAAAAGTTCTACATTATCAACAAGGGCGAGATCATAGTCACGCAGTTGGATGCCACCACTGGAGAGGAAAACGTTATTCGACGACTAAAAGATGGTGACCATTTCGGTGAGATGGCACTTTTCAAGGACGAAATGAGATCTGCTACCTGTACAGCAGTAACGAGAGTGCAGTGCGTTACGCTTGAGCGCGCTCACTTCATTGCAATGCTAGGAACTCTTCAGGAGCTTATGGACCGAGAACCAGCACACCTGGAGACGAGGGATCTCGCGCATAGACGAACATCAAATGAGGCGCTGGTAGAACCTGCAGACTACAAATACTACATGGAGATTCCGCGAGAAGAACTGGAGGTACTACAAACGCTGGGACGCGGTGCATTCGGGCGCGTCCGACTCGTACGTCACGCAGCTTCTAACCGCGCTTATGCACTGAAATGCTTGATTAAATCACATATCGTGGAGAACAATTTGAAGGAGCATGTATTGAACGAAAAGCGGGTCATGCTTGCACTAGATCATCCGTTTATTCTGAAGCTGTATACAACCTTCAAAGACCGAACGCACATTTATTTCCTGGTGGAACTAGCGCTAGGAGGAGAACTTTTCACGTATTTACGTCGGAGAGACCATTTTGAAGAACCTGTTGCACGGTTCTACATTGCCAGCGTCGTGCTTGTCTTCCAGCACATGCACTCGAAGAGCATCGTGTATCGTGATCTAAAGCCTGAAAATATTCTCCTGGATAACGAAGGCTACATGAAACTCGCAGATTTTGGACTAGCCAAGCTCGTGACAGACCGCACATGGACATTGTGCGGTACACCTGATTATCTCGCACCCGAGATTATCTTGAACAAGGGTCATGATAAGGCAGTCGATTACTGGGCCTTAGGCATTCTCATCTTCGAGCTAATGACAGGATCTGCTCCATTTTACGCTCAAGACCCGATGCAGATTTACGCTCTTATTATCCAGGGTAACGTCAAATTTCCGGCTTATATGGGGTAGGATGATGATTTGTGTTTATATTTTCTGATTTCGACTCCGTACTCATCACTCTATTTCCTGATTTTAGACGAGCTAGTGTAGACCTCGTTCAGAAGTTGCTGTGTCAGAACCCAGCGCGACGACTAGGAAACATGAAGCATGGGATCAAGGATATCATCAATCACCGCTGGTTCTCTAGCTTCCAGTGGGACAGTCTGAAAACTAAGAGCATGAAGCCCCCGATCGTACCACAGATCCGTGATGATTTCGACACGTCAAACTTCGAGGACTTTCGCCACGAAGTCGAGGATCCAGGTCACGAGTGTGACTGGGATCCGGACTTTTAGATCGTTTGTCGGATAGCAATAATACTACTCAAATTTAGTTATCACACCAAGAAAAGAGCTAAGAAGCGTGAAACTAAACAGATCTTTAGTCGTTCAGCACTTCGTTTGTTAAAATCATTTGCATGCACGAACGTTTTGATGTACATGTACTAGAATATGTCAGGCATCTTCCCGACAGCAAGCTTACGATATTTGTCGATAAGTTGGGCGGTTGTTTGGTCGGGTGGTGCGAACTGGCCGGGCTTGTGTTCACGCGGTGGGTTATACACGTAGTTAATAAACCCCTTTTCCAACTCCAACTCACGTGCCTTTTTCTTTCTGTCGGCATCTTGTCGTTCAAGCTCATCGTCAACTTCTTTGTCTAAGGAGAAAGCTTCATACGAATTGATGGAGGTTGATGTAGATCCTGCTCTCCAACGCTGCAAAGTGCTCGTTGAGCTTTTGCTTCCTATAGAAGAGGATTTTGTAGATTTTGCAGGGGCCAACAGTTGAGCCAGCTCCATGACGCTCATCCCAGTACGTACAGGGGTCGAGGAGGCTCGACGCGATGAAGTTTTGCTACTTGGATTTCTGGGACTGTTCGCACCGCTGATACTGTTGCTCAGGTGATCGAACATCCTCGCTGCGGACTAAATCGGATACACATGGACACAAGTAATTAGTACTTCGAAGTAAGACAAGAAAATCGGTGCATCTTCTGCAAGCACGTACACTTGGACGGTGACCGAACGTCACGCTGTGCGATGTCAGATGGGCACTAAAACGTTAAAACGGGCCACACAGAATTGTCACTGCGGTGAGTTCTGGACATTTGAGTGTGGCGAAAGAGTGGCGACTTACCTATACTCATCGTGGCCTGGCGGGAACAAGTGTCGAGTGCTCGCTTTGACATCCTTTAAACCGTTGCTCTCGATGTTGTTTTTGTTGTTAGAAGGCTTACGCAAATTGCTCGGGTCAACACTAACCACCTTTGGAATTGCAAACTGCGCCACCGCTGGTGTGTATGATGTGGCTGGTGGCAGAGTGGAGAACTCGGGTCGTGCTCGTGCATCGAATCGCGAGTTTGCAAGCAAATCTGCTGACTGGTTGATGAACTACACGTACAAATTCGTCACGGAAAACATGTAAGTAAAGATACATTTCTACACCAGGAGGTTTCACTATGAATCCGTACACTGGAGTGATTTCGGGGGTTCTGCTCCACGCGCGCGCCGTCCTGTATGGATACCGAGTAGAAGCGAGGATTCTACGTTGAAGTGGCAACAACGAAGCAGCGGGTCAGACCACACAACGTGGACTTGCTTACTGTACCATCTGTCTGTCTGAGATGAAAGCACCTTATTGAAGTTTAACTGCTGGTAGCTATCGGCCAGTTGTCGATCCGCGCAGAATGGATTCGACTCCAAGTCCACGCGGGGTTCTCGTACACGCTTTTTGGTGATAGTGGTGGCAATAGGGTCCGTCTGGTCTCGATGGAATTTGAGCAGCTCGTATTGCATCTCACGCTCGCGCCGGCGTTCAGCCGTAGATTGCGGTGATCCCTTGAGTGTCATGTTGGTGGCCAGGTAATGAGAAAAAAATCAAGGAGAGAAGCTGACCCAAACGCTACGCTGGTGCCAACTGGACGGATCTCGTTAGCGTGGGCCAGCGAGGTTGCGGCCGCAATGAAGGCGGCGGAAGGAGTAGCCCCCTAAAACTATTTATGTGGGGATATTCCTGGCTTGTCTGGCCGAAAATGCCACGTTGTCGTTGAGATGTCGAAAGAGGCCAAGCATTGGGCTTGGAAGAAGTCAGAGCTTTGCAGCTGAGAGAATGCAGCGTTTCATCGGGACTGATCATGTAGCTGGCAACACCAAGATGCCACTAGATTTCCTATTTAGATAAAAGTTACATTTTTTATTTCCTCAAGGTGTGTTATACTATGCTTGTCTACAAATATCTGAAGCTGCGTTGCCATTGCACCCGCCGAGCGGTCTTCAACTGATCTGACAATCACTCTGATAATGGACACTCGGAAATGCGCATGCATGTTTTTAGCACAAACAGGGCGTAGCCATCTCAAAAAATGGTCACTTGATGAACCTGGCAGCGTAGACAAAAAGGCCTCCGAGAAGTACAGCAAGAAGTGATGCATGTACAGTATCTGGTATCATGCAGAGGCAAGACTAGACTTGGATCGTCGCATCCAGAAGAATAAGCGCTCTCTCGCGTTCTACTTTTCTCAAAAGATCGGTACATATCTAAAATCGACGAGCAAAATGTTCGTGTTTGTGGCCTGTAGGTACCGTGTTTTCCGCGATCCAGATTCTTACCTAAAGCATCAACCATTTTCAGGCCTGTACATCAAGAAGCCTATCCAATTTCCTCATTCACCTTTTTTATTTGCTGGGTCGAGCATTTGCACATCGTTTTTAGATGGCAAAAGCCAATTCTCTTCGAGGACTGCGGTGCCGAAGCAGTCCAACTTGGATTCCAAGTGCCTCCTTTCGGTCTTCGGCCGTGCACAGCAATGCAGCAATGCACGCGGGCAAGGATCGCCTGAGCGGATGCGCCAACTACAAGCAAATGGTTCAACGCTTGACAGAGCTGCAAGTCTTACCGATACGGACTTGTGGAGCGCTGCAATTGGAGTTGTGATGGCCGACATCAACAGGAACAGCTGCGTGCTGGTGGAAGCATCGCTTTATCCCAGCGCAACATCTCCCCTAGAGTCCCAAAACCACCTTGGATAGCTGCGTTGGCAATAAAACCGGGAGAATCAGTATACTGGAACCAAGTCAATCTTCCAACTTTTCAGGCATTTTTTGAACAACAAAAGCACCGGCCTTGAAATTAGGCTTTGAAAGCTCAAAGACGGGGGGATGAGCGAGTGAAAAACGATTCCCTCCACAGCTGCCCCCGCGCTGCTCTGCTCTGCTCAACTCATAAGTCAATTCGCGCTGTCCATGGCGGAGTCCATCGTATCGCGCGGCCAACAGCTCGAAGCAGCGGTGGACCGCCTGCCGGACTGGTACTTCGCTGCAGCTCAGGTTCTCCCATCCCCAATCAAGGTCAACAGCAACAACAACAGTAACCTCTTCACAACGCTGGGTCCAGTATGCGAGACCGAAGATAAGCCGCAACCCCTGGACGAGGACGACATACAGAAGCCTCGCGATCCCCCGTCCAACGCCACCATGACCTGCACAGAAGACGAACTCGAGCTTGAGAAGCTCGACGCAGCCAGGCGGCAACAGTCAGACGCAACACAACAGATCAGGCAGCAGGAACTAGGCCAGTCCGCAGCTTCTAGTCGACGCTCCACCGCGTCGTTTTCGGGCGGGTGCTCGGACCTCGTGCTCTCAGGTTTCTCCATGCGGGGCAGGGAGAAGAAAGTCATGTACCATATCGACGTGGTAGACCACGACGCCCCTCTACAGACATACACTATCCGTCGCAGCTACTCAGACTTCAAGGACCTCCATATTCAGCTGTCCGAGATTCTTGAGAACCGGCAGGCATATTACCGAAGCAAAGCGGCGACTAGAATGGCCAGGGGAATTATCCCCACGCAGACCGATACCATGACACACGAGGAAAAGCTCGAACGCGCCATCATGGCGTTCACGCTGCCCCCTCTGCCCCACGCGGGCTTCCTCACGTTCTGGAAACGACACGACCGGTCGCACTTGCAGTCAAGGTGTGATAGTTTCCAGGAGTTACTGCGAGCAGTGCAACAAATGGCGTTTCTGCGTGAATCTTTTGCCATGCAGAAGTTCCTTAGCGTCGCGCCCTGCGCGATCCGAGAGCGAGGGTCCTCCTATGTATCGCTCTGCGAATACAGCGTACCCACACTGAACCCAGAGGAGGAGCAAAGGGAACGGAAGCGACGAGCACAACAGTACCGCCGCAATAGCAGCTCTAGCAACCACTCGACACTCATGGTGGAGTATTGAGAACCGTCTAACGACAGATTCAGTTTAGTTTCTTTTTCGACATCGTGTAGTATTGAGCGTGAGCCGAACAGGGTGTGACAATAGTTAGTGGTAACTCACGAGATGCAACATGTAATCGTGCGATGTACATATTTCAGAGTGGCCCTAGATCAGATACCCATTTTAGTATCCATTGGAGTAGTCGAGCGTCATGGGCTACTAGTCAGCAAAATCTGCTGAACAATATGCAGCAGATTCTTAAAAGGATGAAAACCAAGCTAACACATACTTCGAAGTATCCTTATAATTGACCAGCGCTCAGTTTGAACGCGTCAGAGGAAGCTTGTCTCCTGGAACATGAGCTCTTTGGAGGAGGCGATGTAGGCTTTTGAGAACTCCTTGGAGTGCGGCACTTGCGCACGGATAGAGATGCGATTGCCATTCCGCGCCTCGCACTCAGCCGTGGCCAATTCATGCAGCAATTTGGCCATGCCCAGTGTCTGCTCGGCAGTCTCAATGAGCTCGGGCTCCCGCGGCTTAATCATGGTCATTTCGGCTGCTTTACCGCCATTCATTGGGCTACCGTTGCGCTCTTTGGACGGACTACCGGGGTATGTAATGGCGATCGCCCCAGCGAATGTAGGTGAGCCGTTAGAAGACGAATCTTTGGTCGAGCTGTCGCTGGGATCCACATCGACGTCGTGAAGTAGTTGATCAAAGCGGAACGGCTCTGTACACACATATTCCTCCACTGCGTTCACCGGTGTAACGATGACTGACCTTCCCGAGAGCTGTAAAGGCAGAGAAGCAAGTATCAGTGAACAGCGTTATCTATTGCAAGGATGGTGGACAAACTGTCTCGTACCTGTGGAATTAGCTGCATGTCCAACACTAACGCATCGGCCAGCTCGTTGACGTAGCCTGGCATGAGACGTCGATGACAGGCTTTGTCCATCAACTTCAACGAGGGATTCCGAGCGATGAAGAAGGCTAGAGTGCCATGCAGGAACGTCTTCAAGTCTCTCATGTCTAGGAATTCTTTGTCCTGAAGCCCCACAGCGTCCAACACGGAGTTGAATAGATCGATCGATACTATGCCTGAATGTGCAATTTCATCTTCTTCGTCATCATGTTCAGGGCGTGGCTTGAGGAGCCAAATGAGAGGCATTTTTGCTACTCGTGGAGTTGTCGGTGGGCTACTTCTTTTGCATGGTGACGCATTGCCAGCCTTCATTGGCGATGCACTGCTTTTGCTTTGAATACTTCTGCAGCCGTATGGGATGTTTTGTGCAATAGTTGGTCGTGGCGGTGATCGATTAAAGCGAATTCCAGTCTGGTCTGGCCTTCCTTGGGTTAGTTGACGCTCCTGCAACTGTTGCTGCTGGTGAGAATGCTGTTCGTTGACACTGCAGCGTGGAGAAGTGCATTCTGACATTTCGCTGTCCGAGTTTTCCATTTCACCTTGAGCCATGAGCTTTCGCTTATGAGCGCTGAGCTGGCTCCTTCCTGACGTTAATTGTTTTTTCATACGTGCACAAGTGCTCTCAATCAATGAATTCGAGGCCTTTAGTTGACTGGAGAGATCTTGAATATCCGCTTTGATCCGTCCACGATCCTCGTCGCTAGGCACTCCGACAATTTTCACCTGTTTGTCGACCAGCAAAGCAAAACCGACAATTACGTCGTTGAGCCGCCTGATAGAGCGCTCGATCAGCCCAATCTCGTCTCTCGATATCTCGGTGAGGTGTAGTGCTTCGAGCAGAACTGTGTTCACTCTGCGATCCTGGACGGGCGAAAATTTCTTTAGCAAAGGAGATCGAGGAGGAGACGAGGAGGAGGTTATGCTTGCTGCACGAGGATACTTTTGAGGCTCATGTGAGCCATTCGACTCCTCGTCTTCGAACCGCACGGACCGAGGTTGCCCAGCTACCTGCAGCGCCGACAGTTGCCTCAACAACAACTGCTCGTCATCTTCGCCGATTGAGTGCTGATCTACACTCTCAGTGCCAGCGCTCCGCTCCGTCAGCGTGTCATCTGGTTCTGAGCCGAGCAGCTCTGCAGTGGTGAGTGCGTCGTAACCCTCTCGATCGTCGCGATCCTGGAAGCGTACGGTGCGCATTTCGCACTGATCAGCTCGAAGCAATTATGGAGGTTGGTTTTGATATCTCCACAGAGATAGACTGCTCCCCTCAACCAAGTCGAAAGCACCATGCCAACCTCGAAGATCTAAAATAGCATGATAAGTGTACCCATCTGATGCCTTTGGAACCAGGATTGTCACTATCAAATAAACAGTTGGTCAAGCTTTGACGCCCTTATTACTCAGGTTGTCACTACCTTTCGGTGGAGACGAGACTCACCTGTCGTTGCTACGTGGCAAGCCGACGATATTATGCATGAACCTTGAACGAGCAGCTTAGCGTCCCGCTCAGAGACGCTGGGAGCTATCTCGTGGCCACTAAAGCTGCTTTGCCGGTTGCTGCAGGCCTCCTCTGCCAAATCTCCATGGCGCTCCGATCCAGCCGGAGACGCGTGTTGCCATCTTCTAGCACTTACAAAATGCAAGTCAAATGTGCATAAATCAGCCTATGCCCCCGCTAAATCCGATCGCATTTCGACGACACGCACGCCTCCCCCACTCGGTCTCCAAGCTGGTCGAAGGGAGGTTCCGCACTCGGTTGACCATCACTCTGATTCCGCATTATGGAGGGGATCCGCGTGTTCATCCCGGACGAGAAGCTCGTGTGGGTGCCGGCCACTGTCCTGTCGGTGGACGGGACCGGCAAGGTCTTCCGTGTGCGTGTGCAGCCTTTGGCCGACGCCTCAGATGCGACCGCCGGATATGACCAAGACGCGCCCGCGGAGGAGCGCACCATTGACCTCAACGAGGATGGGATGCCCGACTCGCTACCGCTACAGAACGGACCAGCCGAAGGCGATGAGGACGAAACGAAGACCAAGCATAGCGTAGGCGCCGACGACATGTGTGAACTGGGCCACCTGCACGAGCCCGCTATCGTCTATAATGTACGTGAGCGCTTCTACGCCAAGGAGCCGTACACGTACACGGGCAAGATCGTAGTAGCCGTGAATCCGTACCAGTGGATTAAGGAACACTACTCGGAGGAGCTCCGGGACCTCTACACGCAGCGTCCATGGGACGAGATGCCGCCGCACGTGTACGCGACCAGCGCAGAGGCCTTCCACCACATGAAACAGCACCGCATCCCACAGAGTATCCTCGTGAGTGGAGAATCCGGTGCCGGCAAGACGGAGACTGTCAAGATCATGATGGAGCATCTCGCCAGTATCTCCATGGGCATCGCTAAGAGGCTACACCCCGCCGAGAGCGGAGAGACCATCGTGGTCGAAAAAGTCCTCAAAAGTAACCCCCTGTTGGAGGCTTTTGGTAACGCCAAGACTATCCGCAACGACAACTCCAGTCGATTCGGCAAGTTCACGCAGCTGCAGTTCAACAGCGACTATTGTCTCGTCGGGGCCGAGTGTCGCCACTATCTGCTCGAGAAATCTCGTGTCGTGGCTCAGGCTGCAGGCGAACGCAACTACCACATCTTCTATCAACTCGTGAGCGCTAAAGAGGACGTTTTCGGCTTCAATGATGCCACGTCGGCCAAGGAATTCCGCTACTTGCAGGATGAAAAGCTCATTCTGGACGGCAAGACCGACCTAGAACGTTATCAGGTCACCCGGGATGCACTATCTACGATTGGCCTTAGCGACAAGGAGCAGAATGAGCTCTTCAGCGCTCTCTGCGGTATCCTACGTCTTGGTCAGCTCGACTTTATGCCGCTAGAGTCCAACAAGGACGATGCTAGCCAAGCTGTTGCTTCTCTGAACGCGTCATCGCCTTCTGGATCGGTCACAGCTGAACAGATTGAACAGCAGAAGAAGGAAATTGAGCAATGTGCAAAGCTGCTTGGTGTGGAAGTGGCCGCGCTGAGCAAGCAGCTATGCAGTCGTACGGTTAAAGCACGACAAGAGGTGTATTGCGTCCCTCTGTCCGCTCACCACGCGGGCAACAACCGTGATGCTCTGGCGAAGGAGATCTACGCTCGAGTGTTTGGTTACCTGGTGCGTCGGGTGAACCACAGTATCTCCAACACGGCTGACCGAAGTGCATCGACTCCATCGTACCTGCACATTGACTTGCTGGATATCTTCGGCTTTGAGTCCTTCAAGCACAACAGCTTTGAGCAGTTCTGCATCAACTTTGCGAATGAGAAGCTGCAGCAGAAATTTACACTGGATGTGTTCAAGACGGTGCAGGAGGAGTACCAACAAGAAGGCGTGGCTTGGGAGTTCGTGAAGTATCGGGACAACCAAGACATGCTGGACCTGCTGGAGAACTCGATGGGTGTGATGGCGTTGCTCAACGAGGAATGTGTGCGCCCCATGGGCAGCGACCTGTCATTCGTGTCGAAGCTGGTGTCACTTCGTGAGTCACACCCGCGCCTTGAGCGAGCCCGTTTGAGTCAGATGCACTTCTTGCTGCATCACTATGCAGGTCCTGTGACGTACGATGCGGAAGGCTTTGTCGAGAAGAACAAAGACTCACTTCAGACCGATCTACTGGAGCTACTGGGCACGAGCTCCAATGGTTTGATGTCGATGGTATTCGGTGACGATAACAACACAGCATTTATGACGGACGCGGATTTGGCTGTCCGTGCTGCAACTATGATGGAGTCGGGCCGACGTAGTACAGTGAGCCGGAAAACGTCGACGTTCATGCAAGAAACCGTGAGCTACAAGTTCAAGGCGCAGTTGTCTCTGCTAATGAGTGACATCTCCAGCACCGAGGTGCATTATGTACGATGCATTAAGCCTAACTCTCAAAAGAGCCCCAACATCTACGAAATCGATGCGGTTGTAAACCAGCTCCGATGTGCTGGTGTCGTGGAAGCTATTCGAATCACTCGCGCCGCGTTCCCGAACAAGATGGCTCACGAGAAATTCCTGCGTCGATTTGTAATGATGAGAAGCAAGAAGGACTCAACAGCGGTGAAGGAATCTACGACAGTCGCTGACGCGTGTGAGCAGCTCGCTGAGGAACTGCTGAGTGGCGACGCTTTTGCTCGGACGCAAGAAGGCAGCGAGCACTCCAGAACACCCACGTTCGTGGTCGGCAAAAGCCTGGTCTACTTTGGTAAGGACGTGTTGGAGTTCTTGGAGCACAGACGCACAACGTTTGTGCACGATCGAGCAATTATGATCCAGCAAGCTGCACGGCGGTGGATGGCGCGTCGAAGGATCAAGAAGGTTCGCACCGTGATCTCTAAAATCCAAGCCCTTCATCGCGGCCGGATGCAGCGCCAATCCTATCTGGAGAAACGCAGGAAGTGTATTATCGTGCAGAGTGTGTGGCGTGGAGTCCGCTCACGCCAACGTGTGTACCTGATGATGAAAGAGAAAAGCGCGATCAAGGTTCAAACTGCGTACCGCAAGCATCTGTCGGAAAAGAAGTATGCCAAGTTCCGCAACGCTGTCATCAAGATCCAGTCGAACCTGAAGATGAAAAAGCAAGTGGGCAAGTATCAGAGGCTTTTGTCAGAGCGGAAGGAACAGGATGCTATGGAGACTGAAGTGGAGCTGCTGAAACACCGTCTTGAAGACGAAAAACGTGCTCGCATGGAGATTGAAGCTGAGAATTCGTCGTTGCAGCAGGAGCTGAACCAGGTTCGCAATTCGTCAGTTCCCAGTGCAAACAGCAGCATCTACGAGACCGAAGCACCGCCCCAGTACCGAAACAGCATGCGATCGAGCAGGATAGAACGCGAGTCTATGGACGATGGAAAGCTGCTGGATGACTCGGAGCGCATGATCGATTATCTACGGAAGGAAGTAACTAAGGGCCGTGAACTGATTCAGATGTTGTCCCAGGAGAACGAGAACCTGAAGGCTGAAAACAAGAAGATCAAGGACGCGTACACGGCTGCTGGCGCATCGTTCGCTGCGCTGAACCAACACAACAAGCAGCAGTCGAAGGCGAACCTGCGACTCATGAGCACTCACGCTGCTCTGATCAAGTCCCAGGAAGAAAAGATGAAGAAGTACAAGAAGCAGGTGGCAGAATTGAAGGAGGATCTTCGGATGCAACGCTCCGTGTACTCGGCAGAGCTCAAGGCCCGTGTGCAGCAGCAGGATTTGCTACTCGATATCATCAACCTCGCGGAATCGGATGGTGTCTCGGAGGATTTATTGGAGCGCATGCGAGCCATGGCAGTGGACTCCAAGCCCTCGTATGACAACGGACGACGCAGTAGCGAGTTTATTAATCGCCGGTCCTCGTAAGTTCACTGCAATTTATGTAGTATGGTTGGGTGACGTAGCTAATACTTTGGATTGATGATAATGTACAGAGTTGCTAGCAAGGTGACGAGGGAGAGCGAGAATCGTGAACACCGATCGGATACGGCGACTTCAATGGGTCCAGTGCCAGTGTCGGTGTCCGTCAGCTCAAACCCGTCGCGCAATGAACGCCGTGCCACTCTAGATACGATTATGAACAACCCGGTGCAGCGTGGAATCTCGCCCCACGCGGAAGGCATGAGTCCTCCCGACCGCGGGAGCCTCAACCGAAACAGCCTGAATGGTGAAGATGGTCACCGGAAGTCGCGGATTGGTGGCATGTTCAAGAAAATGTTCAAGAAGGAGGAAAAGGAATGATCCACAAAGTGACTACTGTAGAGGGAGGCAGGACCGGGACGATGACAGCGCGCACATGAGTGCCAATGCTAGCCGCTCCAACAAATTACCGGTATGGGTTAAATTTTCATACGTGAGCTGCATGGTTTCTCGATCTTTATATTCATCGTGCCTGATGGACGCGAACATAATGAGCACAATGTCTCAATTTGATGCGCAAATCAATCAGGTCCAGTACCCGTTAAAACGTAACCCGAACGAAAGAAAGCTCGTTGCAGATATGCCAGTGATTCTCGGCGGCTTCTCCCCCGCGCCCGTGACGCCCGAAGCTCGCGCTGCCTTGGATCGCGCTCTAGCAGGCTCCGATCTAACTGTGACCAACATTTTATCCGTGCGCTCGCAGGTCGTGGCCGGCACCAACTACGAGTTCGAGGTGGAAGGGTCAAGTGCCTCCCACAACGATGCCACCCGCTTCGTGGTGAAGGTGTTCGACCAGCCCTGGACCAACAGCACGCATCTCATGTCTGTCGTCGCAGCCCCAGCGCCACAGTGAAGAGATCAATTGGTACAGTAGTACGAAGCTCCAGACTTGAGCTAAGATGCTGATCAACCAAATCACAACCGAGCTATTCCTTGTGTAAGCTTACCCCACATTCTCAACGGTCGCCGCTAGCGGCTCCTTGCGAAGAGCGCAACACCTTTCTACTTCGCCGACAGCGGCGCTCTTTAGTGTTTCTCTGTGTACTTGTGATCTAGGGACGACGCAGTCATGGGCGGCGCGGCGTCAACCCAAACGTTCGAGCAGATGCTGGCATGCACCATGATCCTCGGTGATGCCATGGTGCAGGGTTTGGATCCGCGGTTCGTGCGCTTCCCGGACTTGTATCGACTGTACGACTTCCACGTCGGGCCGAAGAATCCACGAGATCAATCACGCAACTTCAAAGGCGGCAACATGGTGCTGATCGTGCATTCTCCTGATGGCGAGGGCAAATTCCAGCAGTTGACGCTCGACGGTCAAGAGATCAAGTCGACATCGGGCAAGACACACAAGCAGTATGCTGACGAGACTCTAGATGACAGCAAGTTGATCGTCTATGTGGGCAACGACAAGATTGTGCTGGACAAGGAGACACTGCATCTGCCTAACAACGACGGCTGGACGCCCCTACACTCTGCGTGCCACATGCTCAATGCCCAAGAGGCGGGAATCGCCATCCTCAAGGAGCTAGTGGTTCGCAAAGCAGATCTGGATGGGATAACACGTCGTGGTCCTGGATCGTTCTCGTGCGGCTGGACGGCGCTACATATCGCCTGTGCCTACGGATTGGAGGCTTTGGCGATCAAACTCATTCGTGCTGGAGCCAATGTGAACACAGTCAACTCGGTCGGGTGGACCCCACTATACGATGCTTGTCATCGGGGATACGTGACTATCGCACAGGAGCTCTTGCGTGCAGGAGCCAAGCACGATGTTATTTGCCCTGAATTCGCGTTGTGTCCGTTCCCGGGGCAAATGCCACTGGCGGAGGCAGCACGTCAAGGACATGGATCCACCGTCAAGATGCTGCTGGAGTGGGGTGTCAACAAGAACGCAACGAACAAGCTCGGGTGGACAGCGCTGCATGAAGCTGCGTATCATTCCCGAGTGCCAATTGTCAAGATGCTGGTTGTGTATGGTGCCGACGTGATGCTCAAGACTGATCGTGGCTCTATCGCGAAAGACCTCACCATTCACAGCGAGATCCGCGCCATGCTCGAAGATATTGCGTCACATCTACCTACTCCGTCGTCTCTGTCTCCACCGAAGCAGGTTGAAGCAACAACCACGTCTAATATCGAGGACAAGCCTGTTCCAGCTTTGAAAACGGCACCATTGTCGCGTAAAGAGGAATATGAACTGCTCGGAGACTTGCCGAGCCTGAACGCTATCACTATTCAGGACGCTGATGCAATCGACGACGATGATGAAGAGGAAGTCGATGCCAAAGCTCCTGCTCTTGATTCACCGTCCAAGGAGAAGCACAAGAAGAAATCAAAGCATTCTTCCAAGAAGAAGAAAAATAAATCCGGATCACGAGATATCCCGCCCGAGTACAAGTGTGCAGTCTCGCTGAAGTTGTTGAAACATCCGATGCGATCACCATACGGCCAAGTGTTTGAGCGCCAGGTTATAGAAGCTTGGTTTCGCGATTTTGGCAACCGCTGTCCATTAACAGGAGAACCGCTCACGCTTCAGCAGTTAGTGAGCGACGAAGAGCTCCGTGAAGAGATCCGGGGTTGGAAACACGGTTCGAAGAAGTTCGAAACCTCTGAAGCGGAGGCAAAGGAATCTACTGAGACTAAAGAAGTTCTATCAGTCGCAAGTCCTCGAGGCGATGAGTATGATTTCTAATGGAATTACTATCATATTCCATTCGCTTTAACGCGCTCTCAATATCAGATACACTATCGGTAAGACTGCTGAGTTCATGAATATTTTTCTATTTACTGTTCGTTGGACTTGTACTCTACAAGGCAATGTCTTCCATTCATCGACATCGCCCTCATATCATGGTACGTCGGTCGATTGAATCTACGGCCGGGTGGCTGCAATGTACATCGCCCAGGAGCGAGATAGTCCGTCATCCATTGTGACAGTGCGGAGCTTTTCAAGCGCAAAGTCTTTGTTGACGGTGGCGTAGTTCATGTAGAGAAGCGAGAGCCACGGGTTGGTCTGGTTGTCGTTTAGGACGATGTCCTCACGAGCCAAGATCTGGTCCCATTCCTGCTCGACGAAGTTGAGAGTGCGTACGAATTCAGTCACAGCCGTGGCCGGGAGCATCTGGATGCCGTGAATCGCGTGCTTCTCGCCGCTGAACCAGGTAGCGTAGTTGACCTTGTTGTCGAAGAGAATACCCATGACCTTGTTGTCACGGTAGCGGTCCGGGTGGGCACGGTTACCGTCTTCCAGCAGGAAATACGTCTGAATGGCACGGGCGTTGAGCTTGACCATAAGTTTGCCCACAGTTTCGAGGTGTTTGTCTCCAGTGACCTTACCCAGCAGCGTCATACCATAGTAGAAGTTCATATCTTCAGACGTGCTCTCCTCATCCTTGCCGTCTCCAAGTGCCGTGATTCCGTGTGAGTACGAATGACCACGGTACCAGTCGAGACTACGGAACTTGGGGAAGTACGGGTCTGCGTCCGACGGGTTCGCGACGTCACGAATCATGAAACCAGCCATGCGGTTCATCGCAGGAATACCCGACCAAGTGGGGTCCAGCTTGTTGACGATAGCAGCAGTGACCACCCAGTAGCCGTAGTGGTAGTGGTGGTCATTGTACATGGTGTTGCCGAAGTCGACGTTGGGATCGTTCAGTTTAAAGCCCTGCGAGCTCACAATACCTCGGTAAATTGTATCATAGTCGAGTGGGTTGGTCCACGTGTTGTTGAGGAATGGCGTCAGCAAACCTTCCAGCTTCGTAATGCAGTGAGAAAGCAGCTCGGTATCGTCACCAACAATGGACGAATCTCCTGCCATCAGACAGAGCGAAGCGTACTTCTGTGCAGCCTTGCCGTTGAAGTAGTAGCTCTGACCCAGCGCGATAGACCACTCGGAGTCGATATCAGCGATCAAATTCTTCTTCATCTCGTAGGCTTTGACCACGCTAGCGTCAGGCTTTCTTGGCGGGTAGAAGTCCACAGGGAAGTCCACCGTTTCCATCATGCGCCACTCAGGTGGCGAAGTCTTGGTCACAATTCCCTGCATCAGTCCACGCGTCGTAGAGTGAGCAGCCACTCCTTCAGCTTCGATAGCGTATCTACGATCCAGAGTATCAACGTGGTGCACCTGGGCATAATGCAGCATTCCGTTGGTGCAGTCACCGCTGGTCTGCCACTTGTAGGCGTAGGCATCTTCGTTGTGGGCTTCAACTCGCCCACCATTGAGGACACAGCTCGCTGTTTGGTCAAAGATGATCTGCTCTTGTGCAGATGCGTCCGGGATCAATGCAACACGAGCAATGCCAGTGAATGGCTTCTCCATATCGAGCGTAGAGTGACCATCAAAGCGCAGCGTGACTTCGTTCGAGAAGTACAACGTCCAGGTGGCTCCGTTATTGAACTGCAGCACGTAGCGGTCGTTGGTCAAAGGGAGGTCGACAGTCTCCGTGGCGTCCAGACCATTGATCGACGAAATGTTGTAATAAGTCTGGAAGCGTGGAGTGAGACCGGAGTAGTGAGCAGTGACGAACGCCATGCCACTAGCGAGCGTCGCCTCAAATTTCTTGGACGAGTCTTCGCGAGACAAGAAGCGGAGCTGTACAGTGAGATCATCCCAGTCGAACACCTCGAAGATCGGGTGGGACGAGTTGGAGAATTCGGTAGCGGAGAAGGTGAATTCGGGGATTTGGCCGTGCAGGTAGTACATCTCAGCGTCGCCGTTGCCAGTTAAGCCGCCTCCGAACAAACGGGTTGTGTACGGGTAGTTCATGGTAAGACCGTAGGGTTCCATGAAGATGGAAGGCGTCACACTGTACGGATTCGTCCACACCGGGTGGACTACTTCTTCCTCCCCGACAGTGGCTCCGATCATGTTACCCCACCAGTCATTAGTCGGGATGGGACGTGAACCTATGAGACCGGGGGCCAGGAACTTGGGTGGTAACAGGTTCTTGTGTGCATCGGTGTGGTTGAAGAGACTTTGGGGTGGGGCCTCGGAGTTGAAAATGGGTGTGAACAGGTCGAATTTGGCATCGGGAGCAACTGTCGTCGCGCTTCGCAATGTTGATACGCTGGGTTTGAAGATGCCGAAGACCGCAGCGGCGAACAATAGCGTCGAGACGATTGCCAGCACGCTCCATCGACTGATGCGGTTGGTGCTCGAGGATTGCGACTGAGAGAGTGGAGCGGAATTGGTTTCGAGCAGTGGATGCACCTCGCCACTGCGATGAGGTTTCGGACTGGAATGCAACATGTTGGCAACTGCAACGCTAGTATCGATGGTGTGGATGTGGTACAGTGTGTGGAGCGAAGCAAAAGGAAAAGTGAGCTCAGCAACGGCCCGTTTTCGCCAAGTTGGTGCACGTGAAATTCAGTATCGCCATGTCCATTTGCAGTGTAGCAGCCACGACGTGCGTATCTACGGTGATACGAAGCCATGAGCTGTTGCGGCTAGAGCCCGATGAGACGTTAACGTGCCTTCGCCTTGGACGGGCCACAACAGAGACACTTTTCGATGCCCAGTGTTAAAAGAAAGGACCATTGGTGATTGGCTGAAAATTCGATCTAAATCGGTTATTCGTCGAAAAGACGCGACTAAGCAACCAAACTGCAGCTTCAAAACTGAAGATTTGCTAACTGACGACACCACTTCAACTTCAGACACGGTTTGCGGTCAAGTGTACATGCAAGTAGCGCGGCACGTAGTGGAGTACGCCACAGGCTGTGGCGCTGAATGTAAAATTTATGCGCGGAGCTGGTAAGTCACTCGACTTGAACAAGGAGGATATCCTCCTAGGCTGCGTTGTTAGACATGATGACAGCCATAAGACTGTACGGCTCATCATTCAGGGGGCGAGCAATTGCCCGCCGGATGTCGCGCACTGACCATAACGGTGGCTGAGAGTGTCAAGCATTATGCGATGCAGGCGCTTGCATTGTCACGGACTGTACCAGCGTGTACCAGCTCGAATCTGGTGTGGCGGATTGATTTTACACCGGCAGGATTGTCTCGCATTTCACCATTGCAAGTATGACAGCCGCACGGATACGGGTTCGCCCCAGTGAGGTGGGCACAACGAATAAGAATTCATAGATATTGAATTCATCATTTTCACACGGAGAGGACTCAACAACTAACCGCTTAAACGACAGCAATGCTGGAGTCATTTTCTTTATCTCGAAAAGCCCAGTTCCCAAAAGTATTATGGTTTGATGAGTTCTGCTGTGGTCGATCCACCCGACCTTTGTGAGCCAGCTCACTTGCGGACACTCGGACACAACGTGGTGTCGTAGGGATTTGTGTTGAGTGCGTTGAAGCTGGGAGCACAACACAGACGACCAAAGCAACAATTGACACAAACTCGCATAGAAAAGCCTCGAGTTCTATAGGCTTGAAATTCACACTTAATAGTGCTGACCGCTAAGGATCGCAGACCTTTAGTCGGTCGTCCTCCTCCGAGCAATCGTCACCCCAAACCGGGGCTAGCGATGTGACATGAGTTTGGCAGCTCAAGCAAAAGTGTCGGCCACCTTCAAACACGATGTGCCAACATGGGCGGATATAGAGATGGCTACATATTAACAACTTCAGCCAAGCTAACGTTTATTGCATATTACTATGTATCCTACTGTGTGAAAAGGCTAATATAAAGCTTATTGTAAAGTTTGACACACTGTCGAGCTGCAAATCTGGTCGCACTTCAACTAGACTGCGGGATTGGTACTATCTGCAAACAGAGGCGACAGCGATTTCTCCGAAGTTGCAATCTGATGTTGCAACTCCCGGAACCCGCTGAAGCAGTCGCTTAAAGTCGTTGTCACCACTTCTTCTACTGTGTCCGGAGCTCGAAGAATGCCCTCCGACCCCACTCTGTTGTTGTCCATTCCAGCAGGATCTTTGCCCTTGCTCGTCTTGGTCTCTTTCTTCGCTTGCTTCTTGCCACCACACAAGGTGGTCACGACGCCTGTAATGCCTTTGGACTTGAGATTCTTCTTGTCGTAGGTGCGAGCCGATCTCGCCAACTCATTCAAGGCATCGGCCGTTGCATGCATTGCACTGCGAGAAGCAGTGATCTCCGACTCTGACGGTGCCTCACATTCAGCGATCTGGTTAGCCGCGGCTCGTAGCTCCGACGCCCTGTCCTTTGCCGCTCGGATGTCACTCCTCAGGTAAAATTTGGAGGTGTTGACGAAGAACAGCTTGTGACGACTGTCGAACTCGCTGAGGTTGCCTTTGAGGACTTTAAGGCAATTGGTTGCATCATCCGCCGTCTGGATCAACCTCTGCTCCAGCTTGGAAAACTCTTGCTGAGTGGTAATAGACTTGCCCATGATTGTGCTTTGTAATGATCACGTTTTGAAATGACGTGATTCTTCTACCACATAATGGGGGACTTTTCCGCTTTTTTCCATGAAAAATAATGGCTGCATTCTGCGCGACAAAATGACGAGACAATGCCAATTTGTTGGGCGAAAGTTTGTTCCTACCGTTGAGAAAGCGCTATGCTATGGCTTGCGAAATAGAACTGAGAAATTCAAAGTCTCCCAAAGTAGGATTCGTCCCAATGTCCACTCCAGCTAGGCAAGTCGGACTCGTTAGCTTTGGCCAAGTCGGACATGCTTATTCTTGCTCATTTCGAAACTTGATCTCAAGCACACAAGTCGATACCAACCAACAACCAACTCAACACCGCAACAACCATGGTCCTGGGCAAGCACAACGAGCAAAACACCGCCACCGAGGAGGAATTCTTCAAGCTGGAGCAAGCGCTCAACCAGACCGCCGAGGATACGTACAGCTGCCTTAAGCTGCTGAAGAAGGAACTGTCGGAATACGACAGTCGCAATGGCAATCACTTTCGTAACACGGCTACACGTTTCATGCGGAGCGATATGCGTACTGCTAAGGACACGGCGATGGACCTGAAGCACGTGGCTCACGATATCAACAAGAGCAAGAAGTCATCCGAGGCGGAGATCTCTTCCGCTCGCAACATGATGGACGCAACAGTCAAGGCCATGGAGGCTTTGAAGGTTACTGCTCGCGACTACGACAGAGAGAACAAGCAGCGGATGGGAGTCAAGGGCACGGTCGATGCCGCTGTTGGAGGACGCCATGACAAGAAAACGGGACATGGAACGGAGGGAGATGAGGATCGTGGCTTCTTCGGGAAGAGCGAGAAGGACCGAGATGAAGACCGTGGCTTCTTCGGGAAGAAGGAGAAGGAATCGGAAGGTGGTATCTTTGGCCAGAGCGATAAACCCAAGCAATCCGAGGGAGGTTTCTTCAACAAGGACGAAGACGAGCAACGCGGAGGAATGCTTGGGGGTGGTAAGAACGAGGAGCACCACAAAGGCGTCCTCGGTGGCACGAAAGACGATAATGGTGGCGTTATGGGGAGCTCCGAGACCGTGGAGACGATCGTGAGAAAGATTCTCCGGGACCACTTCAACCTCCGCCCACTCGACCACCAGATCAAGGCTGCAGAAAAGTCCCTCACGCCTTCGCTCATGGAGCGTGCGAAGGAGAAGATGCACGACGTGAAGGAAAAGATTACGGGCGACAAGTCCGAGCCTACCCATGACAGTCACGGTCACCACTACGAAGGTCACCACCACGTTGGTCACCAGGAACAAGCCGCGGTGCCGTAAATTGAGGGAAGTGGATGCAAATGACTAGGAGGCAGCGGTAGGGACTTCTAGGCGGTAGCGATGAGCGAACTATGAATACTTTGATTTTTGGAAATGTAGCGCTTTGGCGCGTACATTCTGCAACACATGGACTCAGATTTAATTCATTTAATTTTGCTTGCTGGTAGCTCAATTACAATTTACACATAACTTTCGGGCTAATGACTCAGTGAGATACTCACTGTCATCAAAATTGAAATGGTTCGAGAACTTCAAGTTATGAGGTTGAAATTAAAATCTTCAAAAACGAATATTGCTCTAAATTCTACTGGCAAGTACAGCCGAAAAACCGCGTGAACTACGATTTTTTGTAAGAGCAGTCACTCAATTCACATGTGAACAATATACGACTTTAAAAACTTTATGCCAGTGTATCACTCGAAAGCACTCCAGCTTATCAAAGATGAAGTCATTTGCATTTTCGTCTGGGGTTCTCGAAGTACCTGCGCAGTTGTCTCATTGCTGCGTTCCACTCTGCGAACTACTAAGTACTTTTTTGAAAATGGTTTCGTTGCGAAACCGCACGACACCCACTAAGTTGGGGCAAATCTCTCATAAAGCTCTATGCAGCCAACGACACGGTGGTCTTCGCTACGGATCTAAATACCGTGCTTCACACAATAAGTGCTCGAGTGTTTCCTCCATGCAGTGAGGTTACGATCCGGTCTTTGTGGTACAGCTACAGCTGCGCAAGCACTATGTGTTGCTTTATATGTAACAAGCTTGCTTTGAGCTCTTATATCAAAGACAACAGCCACGAGGAAGTTACTTGCTTAGCAAACCGAGGGGTCTTTTGAGTTTCAAACCAAACTTCGAATTTCGTTGAGTATTCTTCTTGCCGTTGAGGAAGCACTACGATGGCTTGCGAAGACGACTGCGAAATTCAAGCCTCCCAATGTCGGACCCCGAAGATCCTCTCAGCCAAGTTGGGACCCATGTTGGCTTCACTTAAGTCGGTCGGACTTGCTCAACTTTGCTCATTTCAAAACTTGATCTCAAGCACACAATCGATACCAACCAACAACCAACTCAACTCAACACCGCAGCAACCATGGTCATGGGCAAGCACTCCGATAAAAAAATCGCCACCGAGGAGGAATTCTTCAAGCTGGAGCAAGTGCTCAACAAGACTGCCGACGACACGTACAACTGCCTCAAGTTGCTCAAGAAGGAATTGTCCGACTATGACAGTCGCAATGGCAACCACTCCAGCAACACGGCAGCACGTTTCATGCGGACCGATATGCGCAATGCCAAGGACACGGCGATGGACCTGAAGCACGTGGCTCACGATATCAACAAGAACCAGAAGCCGTCCAAGACGGAAACCTCTTCCGCTCGCAATATAATGGACTCGACAGCCAGAGCCATGGAGGCCTTAAAGGCCACTGCTCGCAACTACGACAGAGAGAACAAACAGCGCATGGGAGTCAAGGGCACGATCGATGCCGCTGTTGGCGGACGCCGTGGCAATGAGATGGGTGAGAACCGCGGACCACATGGCACGGACGAGATGAGGCACGAGAGAGGTGAGGATCGTGGTTACTTCGGGACGAACGACAGGGAAAGAGATGAGAATCGTGGTAACTTCGAGAAGAATGAGCGCGATCGAGATGATGACCGTGGTTTCTTTGGAAGCAACGAGGTAGAGGTGAGGATCGTGGTTTCTACAGGAACACGCACGAGTCCGATGGTGGGGTCTTGGACAGGAACCGAGAGGAAGGCCAACCACGCGAAGGCTTCTTCGGGGGTGACGAGAATGAGGAGCTGCACAGAAACATCCCCGGTAATAAAGATGATAACGGTGGTCGCATCACGGGGAGTTCTGAGACCGTGGAGACGATCGTGCGAAAGGTTCTCCGCGACCACTTCAGCCTCAACGCGCTAAACCACCAGATCAAGGCCGCAGAAAACTCTATTACGCCGTCCCTCGTCGAGCGTGCGAAGGAGAAGATGCACGATGTGAAGGAAAAGATCAAGGGCGACAAGTCCGACCCCGCCTACAGTCACCACAACGAAGGCCAGCACAAATCCGACGCTGCTTACAGTCACCACAACGAAGGCCAGCACAAGTCCGACCCCGCCTACAGTCACCACCAGGAAGGCCAGCACCATCAGCAAACGGCTATGCCATAAGGAGCGGGGAGTAGTTCAAGCGTAAGTGACTAGGAGGAAGTAGTAGTATCGGTTTCTAGCACTTCAGTTGTGAGCTTTTAATATGAATACCTTGATATTGACTCAATATTATTGAGTTTGCTTATTATTTAAATCTTTACCAATGCTACACAATAATGTTTCTGAAAACTACGAAAATTATTTACAATATTAAGATTAATCGTGTGTATAGCCATTATACTTATTTTTTGGGAGGATTGAAAAACAAATTCAGTTACTGACGCGCAAATATGTTTTTGGTAAAGAGCTAAAAAAAAATCCTGAACTCACCAGTAGGCCTTCTCTTTTCCGGAGATCTCTAAAATTGAGAAGTAATCTTCATCTTTAAACCTAAATTAAGGAAAGGATCTCTTGGACTTGTACAGTAAAAAAAAACAGTTTGTCAACTTTTCGATGAGGTTCTCAGCTTGCTGATCATTGTATGCAAAAACAGCATAACTATTGCAGCAACACTATGATAATTCTAGCTTTCCTACTACACATTTCCCAAGCATTTGGTTTTATTCGATTAAATCAACAAATTTTTGTAAAGACTTTATGAAACTGAGAGAAGACAACAATCCTAAAAAAAAAAAAAAGCACATTGGCTCGAGGTAATCTGGAAGTTCCCGATATTCCCGCGTTCAGGCACCTGTAACATAGACATCGATCTGTTGAAAAAAAAACTTTCATAGCAAAACTATCTCATTATCAATGTGTTCATAGTAAAAGCTTACAACTGAAGTGCTAGAAACCGCTACTACTACTTCTTCCTAGTAACTTATGCTTGAGCTACTCCCCGCTCCTTCTGGCATAGCCGTTTGCTGATGGTGCTGCCCTTCGTGGTGGTGACTGTAGGCGGGGTCAGACTTGTCGCCCTTGATCTTTTCCTTCACATCGTGCATCTTCTCCTTTGCACGCTCCAAGAGGGACGGTGTAAGAGAGTCTTCAGCAGCCTTGATCTGGTGGTTTAGCGTGCTGAGGCTGAAGTGGTCGCGGAGAACCTTTCTCACGATCGTCTCCACGGTCTCAGAACTCCCCGTAATGCGACCTCCGTTATCGTCCTCATTGCCGGTAATGTTTCTGTGGTGCTCCTCGTTCTTGTCATTTCCAAACAAACCTCCGCGTTGCTCGTGTCCATCTCGGTTCTTGCCAAAGAGGCCACCGTCGGAGTCCGAGGAGGACGAAGAGGATGAAGAGGACTCCCTGTTCCTCCCCAAGAAACCACGATCCCCATCTCCACCAACAGCGGCATCGACCCTTCCCTTGACTCCCATGCGCTGTTTGTTCTCTCTGTCGTAGTTGCGAGCTGTATCCTTTAAGGCCTCCATGGCTCTGGCTGTCGAATCCATTATATTGCGAGCGGAAGAGGTTTCCGTCTTGGACGGCTTCTGGTTCTTGTTGATATCGTGAGCCACGTGCTTCAGGTCCATCGCCGTGTCCTTGGCATTGCGCATATCGGTCCGCATGAAACGTGCTACCGTGTTGCTGGAGTGGTTGCCATTGCGACTGTCATAGTCGGACAATTCCTTCTTGAGCAACTTGAGGCAGTTGTACGTGTCGTCGGCAGTCTTGTTGAGCACTTGCTCCAGCTTGAAGAATTCCTCCTCGGTGGCGATTTTTTTATCGGAGTGCTTGCCCATGACCATGGTTGCTGCGGTGTTGAGTTGAGTTGGTTGTCGGTTCGTATCGATTGTGTGCTTGAGATCAAGTTTTGAAATGAGCAAAGGTGAGCAAGTCCGACTTAAGTGAAGCCAACGTGAGTCCCAACTTGGCTGAGAGGGTCTTCGGGGTCCGACATTGGGAGGCTTGAATTTCGCAGTCGTCTTCGCAAGCCATCGTAGTGCTTCCTCAACGGCAAGAAGAATACTCAACGAAATTCGAATTTCGCGGTTTTCAGGTTTTATTTCATAAATGATATGGAGTAAGAAAAAACAACAACATGACAGCGGTTTTCATGAAACGTTCAATCACGACAGATTGGTCTCTTCGAAATTTCAAAAACTCATTAGAAATGTGAATGTTGGCTAGGTCTCCTTCCGATCTGTCGCAACAGTTACAATTTCATAAACTATAACACCATGTACATGTAATTTCCACGTACATTTATGGCTATGACGGTAGATACTCGCCAAATGCAGTGTTATAGTTTCTAGTGTACTGCTACATGCATTCCTTGTGGATAGTGAATTGGCCATGGTAGGACGAGAAACATTTTTTGTTTTATTATTTTATCTGCGAGCTGTTCCCCGTAAAAAAACTCTAACGAAAGCGGCATGAAATTTCACATATATCCGCTTAATACAAATCCGCGACAATATTGGTATTGCCGTTGAGCACTACAATGGCTGCATAAAGAGCTGAGAAATTCAAAGCCTCCCAATGTCGAGTTTATCCCAACCTTCTCTTCAACTAAGCAAGTCGGATTGAGTAACCCCACTCATTCATTTCGAAACTTGATCTCAAACACACAAGTCAATACCCAAACCAAGCTCAAAATCCAGCAATCATGGTCATGTGCAAGCCTTCCGATCACGACGTCGCCATCGAGGAGGAATTCTCCAAGCTGCAGCAAGTGCTAATCCAGACCTCCAATGATACGTCCAACTGTCTTAAGTTGCTCAAGAAGCACTTATCTGACTACGACAATCGCAATGGCAACCACTTCACCAACACGGCAACACGATTCATGCGGACCGATATGCGCAATGCCAAGGACACGGCGATGGACCTGAAGCACGTGGCTCACGATATCAACAAGAACCAGCCGTCCAAGACGGAAACCTCTTCTGTCCGTAACATGATGAACTCGACAGCCAGGGCCATGGAGGCCTTAAAGGCCACTGCTCGCAACTACGACAGAGAGAACAAACAGCGCATGGGAGTCAAGGGAAGGGTCGATGCCGCTGTTGGTGGAGATGGGGATCGTGGTTTCTTGGGGAGGAACAGGGAGTCCTCTTCATCCTCTTCGTCCTCCTCGGACTCCGACGGTGGCCTCTTTGGCAAGAACCGAGATGGACACGAGCAACGCGGAGGTTTGTTTGGAAATGACAAGAACGAGGAGCACCACAGAAACATTACCGGCAATGAGGACGATAACGGAGGTCGCATCACGGGGAGCTCTGAAACCGTGGAGACGATCGTGAGAAAGGTTCTCCGCGACCACTTCAGCCTCAGCACGCTAAACCACCAGATCAAGGCTGCTGAAGACTCTCTTACACCGTCCCTCATGGAGCGTGCAAAGGAGAAGATGCACGATGTGAAGGAAAAGATCAAGGGCGACAAGTCTGACCCCGCCTACAGTCACCACCACGAAGGGCAGCACCATCAGCAAACGGCGATGCCGTAAAGAGTGGCAAGTGACTAGGAGGAAGTAGTAGTAACTTCTAGCACAAGCATAATATATGGACACTTTAATATCGATAAACAGGAATGAAGAAGATACCCGCTCAATTGTTCTTGACGTGACTAACCTCCAAATGGTTCTTTGAGGCCTAGCAAAGCGGCTTTTTGCCTAGGCACCCGACACTGAGACGCGAGTTGTGCGAGTCCACGGCTGGTCGAAGACGTTCACCACCAGTGCACGCGGCGACACGCACGAAACACTGGCACAATCTCCACCGCGTACGCCGCGACAACCGTCGATCCGGAATTCATAATTCGTTCCAGCAACCACTTGGCTTCTCACCGACACGATCGAGCTCACACAAACGTTTGTCGTTGACAAAGCTTGCAGCAAGACTGCACGAGTATCCGGCGTGATGGCGGCGCTAGACCACCCTCCATACAGTTGCTCGTCGGCTTTTGCCACTCCAGCCAAAGTCATGATCACCAGGAACGCACGCAGCATCCTCGCCTTGAACAAATTGCCAAATGAGAAATTTTTCAGATGGGTGACGACTATTTCCCATTTTCTATCTCTCTTTATGGTTTAATACTTTGGCACAACTTTGTTCACATCTCACCAAATATGTCACGCGAAATAGGTTTCATCTGCGCTGGCCGACGAGAGCATAAAGGAACACTCGACACGTTGGGAACGAGCGATTCGATGTCACCGTTGCCCCCAGTAGAGCGCTGAAGGATCGAAACTTTCACATTGTCGGTTGCTCGACTAGATCTCGGTCCCGGAGTCGTACCTTGTTCGGGGTCAGGCTCAATGGGAGCTGCCACACTCACTGCAAATTGTCGAAGAGTTTCCACAGCGTCACGTGGCAGCTTTAATCCCCACTGCTGTTCCTTTATGACACCCGAGAGGACATGGAAGAGAGCGCTACCGCCACTGAGAGTAGATTCAGACCCCACGAGAAGCAGCTTCTGTTTAGCACGCGTTAGAGCCACGTTAATGCGACGCCAATCCGTTAGCAGTTCACCCACGTGCTTCTCCTCGTTGCATCGGACAAAAGAGACCAAAACCACGCCCTTGTCCTTGCCCTGGTACTTGTCGATGGTGCTTACTTCAATAGAATGAATCCAGTCGGATCCCCCAGCTCGACGGAATGCAGCAACGGCAGTTAGATGCTGGTGAATCAACGCCACTTGAGACCGAAAGGGAGAGATAACTGCGATCTCATCAGGTGGGACCGACCCAAGGACGAGAAGCTCCACAAATCCAGCAATCACCTGCGCTTCCACGACGTTTTCCATGCGTCGACGACCACTACTTCCTAACTGCGTAGTGCTCGACCTCTCCGATGTTGCTTCACCCATGGCGTCCGTATCTAGGAACATCACGCCTTGGTTATTGGTCAGCACTCGCATTGGCCACACAGACTTCTGTGCGATGGTGTCTTGCCGCTGCCATCTTGGCTTAAGATGGTTCGACGCAACCTTAAACGACCCGCACTTGAGCTTGTCGCCGTACACCAGTCGATTCGCCAGCAGCATGATGTCTCTGTTCATTCGATACTGATACGACAGTTGTTGAGTCGCTTCTGGGTGAGCTTCAGCCAGTCTTCGAAACAAACTCACATCCATGCCTTCTTTGCGAGCCTGGGCGTTTGCCACGAGTGGAGGGAGCTGGTAATGATCTCCCACAAGTACAAACGTATCTGCGCAACGCAGAGCGCTCAAGACAATAGGCTGCGTGATTTGAGTGGCCTCGTCGACGATGCAGAAGTCGAATCGCCGCTTGGCAAACAACACATGGTTATTCACACTCAGACACGTACAGCCCACCAACTGAGCATTAACCATCTTGGCTTCCATGGTCCGGACGCTTGAAATTCCTTCGAGTTCCGCTTGTCGATCGAGTGTGAAGTCTGCAATCATGGGGTGGACCTGAGCAGCGTTGCCGATCCGAAGCATGGGGGTCTTATAATCGAGCAGCTTGAGCAGTAGGTTGTCCACAGCTGAATGAGTATAACTCGTTACCAGTACAGAAAACCCGAGAAACAGCAGCACCCGAACAGTGTAAGCGATTGTCGCGGTTTTGCCTGTTCCCGGCATTCCCAGTACTAACGCATAATCGAGAGAGCTCAGTACACGTTGGACAGCTCGCTGCTGATCGATATTCAACTCGTAAAACGCATCCAGTAACGATTGACCGTGCGCTGCCACACTACCGTCATGGTCGTCCTTAGCACAATCTCGACATCGCTGCGTAATGACATCCGTCACCCGACAAGGTTTAAAATGCGGACGAGCGAGATGCACAATCAGGTTTCTTCTTCTCGTATCACCTGTTCCTGATACTTTGTGGTCGCCATTGCCATTATTTCCTGCTGAGACCATCGAGTCCATACGTACCTGCAATTCAGGTCGGTTCACTAACGCTGTTCCGGCTGAAACCACCTCTGGCGGAGGTCCAATAAATAATTGCACGAGGTTTTCTTTCGCGCGTCGTAAGCCACTCATGATGGAGTCTTTATCCAGCCTCCACGTATACTCTTTACCCACGACAGACTGGCCGCTTTTCACGATCAACGGGATACTTTGACGTGACTCAATTGTAATAAGTCCATGTTCGATCTTGCGAACAGTAGCACGAGACACATGAACCAGAAGATTCTTTCCATCAAGCGATTCTGCCGACAAAATAACACGTTCGTCCACTCGGAAACGCACGTCTGCGAACGACGTTGGTTGTGAATTAACCTCACTATCTCCAGTATCTCTTCGCTTCCGCCTATCGCGGACAAAACGTAGAGTTCGTTTCGCTCCAGACTCCGACAGCGCAGGCGAGTCGGATACCATTTTGAGACTAGCAATGCAGGTACTACCCTCCTGCGCTTTCTCGCGTTTCCAACCAACTTGAAGCCACAGAGCGCGGAGATTCTTCTCGGCATGCTGCTGTTCCAGATCAATGAGATGATTCCAGTGCTTGAAATAATTTAAATCTGCTTCACCAAGATGTTTCGTCATCAGAGTGAATAGTTCACCGAGACCACTCGAGTCCTCGGTGCCATTTTCTGTTGCCGCGTGGTGTAAAACGCACTCGTCAACCTGAAAACAACGCTCACACTCTCTGCGGTTGCGTATCATCGGCGGGAACACCTGAGCGGATGTAGAGCCACCGATAGACTTCACTTTTGCAATAGCACTGGCGAAATTATTACGCGTCATGATGAGCCCACGAACATGAGTCGCCATGGCTGTGATACGGTTGGTCTCAATGGGCGGAACGTAGATCAATAGTCCGTCCTGACAGCGTTGGCGATAGCGTTCGTTCAGTAGTAGAGTATACAGGATCACTTGACCCTGGTGCTCAACGCCGGCATACTTTTTGCTTCCTGTTTTGAGCTCAAGAGGCAGAACTACGCTCCCAGTGCGTTCACCATTTTTACCCCCTGGGTTAACGATGGTCCCCTCAACAGATGCATCCGTGGCTCCTTTAAGTCCCCACTTAATGGACCACATCATTTCTTCCGTGGATAAAATACGGGTCACGCGTGCCTTAGATCCATTCTTGGGCGGAATCTCGTTCAAGGGCGTTCCGGATCCAGCCATGGCTCCGTTTACCCACGATCGGTAATCTTCAATCACTCGTTGAAGCTCAAAAAGTGTCTCTTCTTCATTTAACCCGCACTCCACAAGACCTAGAATACTGCTCACACATACACAGCATCAGAACACGACTCGGATACGACCACGATCTTGCACGGACGTACTTGGAATTCACAATTTGCTTAGCTTCTTCGAGAAGAGCCTCAGCGTTGTTCAAGCCATTCAGAAGTGCGTTCTCGAAGAGGTCGTGCTTTAATGTACCCAGGAAAGCCTTCTTGTTCGTCGGGCGGTTGACAGCTAGAGTTTCCTGGAGCACTGCTCGTCGCAAACAACCAAAACTTGTCGTCACTCTGGTGGGTGACACCTGTAAAGAAACCGCGTGTAGAGTAACATAAACTTCAGCTTCACATCAAAGTTGAAAAATCACTAAACATACCAGTATATCCGGGTGGACTACCACGACGTTGTGTGCATTATCCACGACAATCCGCGACAAGTGTCGGCTTACTGGCGTCTTGTTATCTTGCGAAAAGAATCCATCTCTGTCCTGCTCAGTAAACACAATGTTGATCGTATCGCCCGCTTCAACAAGCACATCATACCAGTCTTCGCTCAGCTGAGCCTCCAGTTGTACATCTTGGTCATCTAATAGACGCAACAGCAGCGAACGGTTAACAACGTCGCGATCCACTTCTAGCACCAGAAAGCGCTTGAAGCTTTCGGGTACTTCTAACTGCTGAGCTGCGCCAGTGACATGCATTGACCGCACCACTGACGCTGGATCGTGAGCTGGAGGCAACGGAGAAGGCTTTTTCGTGTCACTATACACCGCTGAAGGCATGGGTCGTGGAGTTAGCGCGAGGTTCTGGGATGATACCATCTCTGTCTGTGATTGCGACTGCACTTGGCTAGCTTCAACGGGAGCTCTCTGGCTCGCTAACTGGTCCAATAACGCCCAGGATTCGTCCGTCAAGTCGTCAAAGGGGTCCACGTTGACCACTGGGGGCTTATCCGGTGTCTTGAGAGCCTCCTGCTCTTTGATTGCCTCCAGAGTCTTGACAACCTTCTGATTTCTAGTCCTTTCCTGTGATTTATCTGCTTCCTGTGTCCGTAGTGAGCGTGGCGACTGTGTCCCGGTCGATGAGTTGCTTGGAGTTGGAGTCGGCGTCATCTTCACGTCGTCGTCCGTCGAAGAAGAAGCAGCTGCAAATGGCGGCAGCGATTGCTGCTGTTGTGGTCTCCTACAAGACAATGCTGTGAGGCTTGTTAGAGGTAGAGTCACGTCGGGACTGGCATATTTCTGCTCCATCTGGTCCAGTACATTGAAAAGTTCGTCTTGTGAGTCTCCTCTCTCGGTGGAGCGTCTCCTCCTGGCTGTATTGGGTGTCCCCTGTGTTGTGATTCCTCTCTCAGGAGGACTGAACATCAAGTGTCTTGAGGCCGCTGCAACATGCATCAACCTCTGGTCAGTCGTACGACACCTCTAAATAGTAATAATTGTTGTTGCCACCTTTCTCCTCTTCATGCTGCGCCGCCTTCCGACGCGTGCGAACCCGTTCTCGACCCGGTTTCTTCTCCTCTTCACTAGTGGAGGGAGGTGACTGTTGACTGGCACGTGCTAAGCGACCCACAAAGCCCTGCATCTCCCTTCGAACAGCCATTTTGCCTGTGCCAGACACTTTGATCTGCTTGTCTGCAGGCGAGTCTTTCCACACAATTTTGGACTCGCTGCCTCCCGATCCGGGCGTGCGACTGGCTGAAGAGGATGAAGACGATGCCTTCTTGCCGCCACGCCGGGACGCGCCCGACTCCAGGCGCCGTCGCTTGCGCTTCGGAGTGCGCGCCGTGTCCATTGACCTCTTCCGATATTGCGAGCAGATTTGTTGCAGTTGGCGCCAAAAATCCGAAATTAGTTACAGTCTGCTTACAGTACTGTTTTACGTTAATGTAAGATATTGTCAAATTGTCTTAAATCAGTATACCTCTCTTGCATGGGATTACCAATTTGTCAGACCCATTTCACCTCGTCATCATGATACTTTTCGGCCGCAGCGAAACGTCTCGAATTGTTCTGAACGGCTCACGTGTAAGACTTGTGAAAATCGAACTGGTTGCATGGTAAAAGTGATGCCGCGAACAGCAATCAGTTTTCGAGCGTCTTGCTATCAAGCACATTGAAGATGTTGCCGACTGCGCTTTTCGGTTCAACTACCGATACTAAAGCAAACCCGATCATGGAGGTGGACGACAGTGCGCCAGTTCTTTCTCGAAAGGAGAAACGTGAACTCAAGCGGGCAGCTAAACAAGGAAGGCGTGAGAGCAGTAGGGACAAGGCCAAGCAAGATGTAGTAGACCCGGCAAGCAACGAGACTTCGCTTGCAGCTCACTCTATTGTGGCAACATCTCAGCAAAGCCGATTTCACTCGGCTACGTTTGATGCGTTCGGTAAGAACGTGCTGCTGAACGATTTCACGCTATCAATCGTCACACCTGACGGCAGCAAGTCGGAGAAAACGATTGAGCTGCTCGTCGACACGCAACTGAAGCTAAACTACGGTACCAAGTACGCCCTGATTGGGCCTAACGGCATCGGCAAGTCAACACTGCTGCAGGCATTAGCTGACGGTCTAGTTGAAGGACTGCCCCAGGCACTCAAAATCCTTTATGTCAACCAAATGGACACGTCGTCGTTCTCGGACGAGAGCATGGAGAGAACTGTACTACAAACTGTACTTGATGCTGACACCCGCGTATCCGATGTGCGCTCGAAGTTGGCGATTCTGCAGCGAGCAACCACCGTGAGCCAACACTCAGATCCCTTTATCTTCGCCTCTCAGAAGGCCATGCTACTGCACGCGCTACTCGAGGTCAAGGTGATGGAGGCCAAGGAGGAGCTGGTCACCACAACAAAAATCGCCATCAAGCGCAGCGGAATGCGCGGTAAAGATGCCCGTCACCGGCAGCTAGAAGCGGAGCACACTGTGGCTGATCTTGAGTTGCAATTGCGATTTACAGAGCAGTCGGACAGTGAACATGAGACCGTTCAAGCAGCCAACGAAGCGGTAATCTTGCGCGAGATCAACGAGAAGATCAAAGAGTACGAAATAACTCTGAAGGCGTTGGATGAAGCATCGATGGAAGCTCGAGCTCGGCGCATTTTGTCGACTATGGGCGTTGATACAGCTAAACAAGAGGCTCAGCTCGCCTCACTGAGCGGCGGTTGGCAGGTGCGCATTCTATTGGCACGTGTGTTGTTCATGGAGCCCGACTTGTAGCTACTTGACGAACCGACAAACCACTTGGACATGCCGTCCATCTTGTGGCTAAAGAACTATCTACTCTCCATGGAGAAGGTGCTGGGCAGCACGTTGACGATCGTACTGGTATCCCACGATAGATTCTTCCTGAATGAGGTCGCTGAAGAAACGATCCTAGTGCGCGGGCAAGACAAAAAGCTCGTGTATGTTGATGGTAACTACGACTCCTACGAAGAAGCCATGGATACGAAGAAGTTGTTCAACGAGAGACTGCAGCACAAGCTTGACCGAAAGACCGAGAAAATGACCAAGATGGTTGCGCGTATCGCCCAGCAGGCGTCTAAGGGCAAGGACGACAAGAAAAAGCAAGTTGCGGCTGCGAAGAAGAAAAAGATGGAGCGGATTGGAAACGAGCGCAACGACAAGGCGCACCGCTTTAAACGGAGCCGCGACCGGCAAGGCTTCCATTTTACATTGCTTGACGGTGCAGAAGACACTGCACTTTACGAAACTTCGTACAACAGCAAGGCCTGGGAAGCGTTGACGACGCCACCCCCGCAGATTCGAAACCTCACAAAGCTCGCACAAACCACTATGCTTTCTCTGGAGAACGTATCATTTAGTTACAAAGCGGCGGCAGAGATATCCAACCAAAGAGAAAACTCCAGCTCACCTCCTCTCGCTATCAAAAATGTCACGTTAAATGTGGCGTATGGTGAAAAGGTGGTCTTTGTCAGTCGAAACGGAGCGGGTAAGACAACACTGATGAAGATTCTCAATCGAGTTATCAAACCGGATGCTGGTAAGGTGCAGTATTTCCATGGAGCACGTGTGGGGACTCTAATGCAGCATCACGTGGAAGACTTGAAGCGACTGGAGTCTCGCAATCTCACCGCATTGGAGCTGCTAATGAAGTCGATCAGTAAGGAAGAAAATTCGCCCGAGGTATTGCTCGCAAACAATGGAAATTCCAATGGAGGCACCACGTCACTTGAAACCAAGGTGCGTGTGCACTTAAACAAGTTTGGCATCAGTGGTGAGACTGCTGTGTCCGTGCCGCTGGGAGGGTTGTCTGGTGGCCAACTTGTTCGCGTTGGTCTAGCCTGGGTAACATTCCCGAATCCACCCCATGTGCTGCTACTGGATGAGCCAACGAATCATCTCGACATGACCACTATTCAGATGTTTGGTGAGGCCCTGCCCAAGTACCAAGGAGCGGTTGTGTTGATTTCGCACGATATCCATTTCCTCAACATCCTAACGCGAGAACAAGGCGGCAAACGCCTCAACGAAAGTGATAGCGATGGCGACAAGGATGAATCGCACCCTTCACTTCCAGCACGCGTATTCGAGGTCCGAAAGTCCAAGGGGATCGTGTCTGTCCATCAACTAGAGGGCGGTGTGGACGCTTACAGACGGAAGCAGGAACGGATTAGCGCGTCGGTGGGGCGAGTGTAGGACTGGTAGTAGTTAATTAATTCAGACCATTTGGCAACGCTCGCTAATTCAGATTAAACCACCACTCGCTCAAAACACGGCAGTAAACACTTCAACAAAACCCATATGTTTTGGTTATGAGTGAAGGTCTTAGCATGGATACACTTGCTCCAAGTGCAGCAGCCCACCCACTTCACATTTTGCTCGCCACTACCAATCACCATGGCGCCCAACGCAGTTCCAGACACTCGGGAGGTGGCTCGCATCGACACAGGCTCCACCACCTGCCAAATCTGCTTTGAAGAGCTCACGTTAAAGAGCCAAACGACTGTCACTCGCTTCTGCTCAACAACCTGTCCCGCAGTCTTCTGCACGTCATGTCTGGAGAAGCACCTGCAACTGGCCATGGAAGTCCCATACGCGGGAGCACTACCCAAGATCCGTTGTCCAATTTGCCTCATCCCGGTGAACAGACAACGATGGATTCGCTGCTTGGAACCCAAGGCGGCAGCAACAGAACTCCTGATTCAACGGTATTGGACACTAAGCAAGGCCTCGTGCAACTTCACCTGTCCGGGTTGCCACAACGCTCAATACACACAACTGCCAGAGTTCTATCAGGATTCCTATAGAGACTACGCTAACGCTGAGGCTCTCACACTCCGACCCAGCGAGAAAACTCGCATTCCAGAGCTTCGACGCGTTGTCCGTCGATTTTGCCACCACAGCAAGACTTCCACTGCACGCGATGTAATCCGATACGTCGCCGATAACTTTCCAGCTTCCAAGACTAACTGCATAATTCACAAAGTACTCTCGCGTATTCAGGACGAGGAGCGGCGAGCGACGCTGTTGCTGGCCTACCACAGCATCCACCGCCGCGTTGTGAGTCGTTGCTGTGGGTTCTTTGTTTGCTTTAACTGCAAGCGTACACTGTACGATGCCAGCACACCATGTGCATGTGAAGAGGAAGATAAGGAGATGATCAGCGATGAAGACATCATTGAATGTCGCTCTTGTCGTGTGATGATCGTCAAAGTTGAGGGGTGCAGCAGCGTCTGGTGCATATGCGGCTTCTGTATGAGCTGGACTGACGAGCAGCGCATTAAAAAGCTCAACCAACGAAAGCTGCTCCCAGTGGACCCTTTTGACATGACGATGTATGACTACTGGACTTCGTGGCACTACAATTTCCAGTGCGCTACCGGCGAGGACTACTGGGAACTTCGCCAGTCGGCCATTCTCCACAGCCTCAACAATTCTCACCCAGTCTTCCGTGAAAATCTACGTCAATTCATCTGGAAGCGGCGATTCCGCCAGTCGATTATGGGCGCTGAGTTGGCACTGCGACACAGGTTCATGCTCCGGTGGTATCCTGCCGTCACGGAGTCACTCCGAACTCTAGTTTGGCGTCGACGTCGCTTCCATCGGAAGCTGCTGGACGAATCCCGCACAGCTTTTGTCGTTCGCAGTGCTCGTCGTGAAGGAGACAGACTCAAACCCGTTCTGCTCAAGTTCATGTGGTACTGCCGCTTCCACAATAAGGTGCTGGGATCACTATGTCGTCGTTTCTACTGCTTATCAAAGGGCTGGGGAGATCTCACCGAAGAGCAACT